TAAAAAATTGGCACTAGGGGTGCCTGGGTGGCTCAGTGGGTTAAAGCCTCGGCTTTCAGCTCGGGTCATGATCCCAGGGTCCTGGGATCGAGCTCCATATTGTGCTCTCTGCTCGGCAGGGAGCCTGCTTTCCTCTCTCTCTCTCTCTCTGCCTGCCTCTCTGCCTACTTGTGATCTCTGTCTGTCAAATAAATGAACGGAATCTTTAAAAAAAAAAAATTGGCACTGTAGCTTATTATTTGTTTACAAGGTTTAAGGCTGCAAATCTCTTAAAACCTAATTTGGGTGGCTGGTTAACCTCCTTTTTCTGACTTTTGGACTTCCTGTTGTCATAGTAATCACACTGATATAAATGCAGTATATCTTACCTAATATATCTTATCTTAAAGACTTATACTGTAATTTTATTTACCTTGAGTATTAGTGATATAGTCTATTCAGCATCTATGTGCCAGGAATTCTCTCTACATATAAAATCATTTTATCTGCATAAAAAGATCTACGTGATAAGTACAGTTTTGTAGATGGTAAAGACAAGAAAATGCTAGCAAAGAGAGGTTAATCATCCTTCCAAAAGACATATAACCAGGAAATGACTGAAGTGATGTCTAATTCCAGGGCTATGGGATGCCACGTGCCACATGTCTCTCCATGGAATTCACTTATCAGATTAAACTTTACAGAAATAATTGAAGACTAAGTTGAACTTGGAAAAAAGTAATCAAATTCTTTCGTATCCCACCCTTAACCTGGTCCTACCTCTAAATCAGCAATCAAATTATTTGAAAAATAGCTCTTTTAAATACCATATTCAATGATTATGGGGTTATAATGCATTATGCATACACTGAAAGTTAAATTACTATCAAAAACTTAGAAATACTTAGGATGTATTTAACAAAATATGTGTAAGACCCATGCACTGAAAATTACAAAGTGCTCTGAGATAAAGAAGACCTAAGTAATTAAAGATGATACACAGATATTCCCAAATTGATTTATAGACTCAATGCAATTGCAGTCAAAATTCTAGCAAGTTTTTGTTAATTACTATTTGTCAAAACAGTTTTGAATCTACCTTAGTTAATGCAGTGTGGTATTGGTGTAAGTATAAACATAGAGAACATGAAACAGAACAAATAATCTAAAAATAGATTCTCAGCCATATAGGACCTATTCATAGCTAACAAAAGTGTCAAGGTAATATAATAAGGGAAAAGATTCTGCTTTCAGGAAAGGTGCTGGATTAACTGGATAAACATATGAGGGAACAAATGAACCTTGACCTTGACATACATACAGAATTTAATACAAAATAGATGATAGTTCTAAATGTAAAAGCTACGAGAAAAATCTCTGTAACCTTGGATTAGGCCATGTGATGTTGTGATTTATAATCTGTATTTGGTCTTCATCCCATTTCTGCCACAGAGCTCTTAAAATCCTTGGAATTTCCTGAGTGATAAGAACTAAGTATCTTTTTGTTACGTTAATGAGTTGATTTAGGGAAAGCGCTTCCAGTTCTGGGTAATCAACCCTGTGATTTGAAGATTGGAACTTCCAGCCCCACCCAGAGACCTTTGGAAGGAAATTGGGGCTGAAGAGCGATGGTGGATAATGTAGTGTCAGAATTGAGTTGAATTGTAGGACACCTAGATAATGTCCCAGAATTACTTGTTGGTATGGGGAAACAACACTCCCACCCCACACACACATGTTAGAATTAGTACCAGATGCTTTTTAGACCAAGGCACAAGAAGCACAAATATCAAAGAAAAGTATGGTAAAAAATGGATTTTTTATCAAAGTTAAAGTTTGTTTTTTGTAAGATACTATAAAGGAATTGTATAGGCAAGTTACAGACAGGGAAAGGCAAGTCCTAACTGATCAAAGTTTGGTATACATAACTCCTACAGGTCACTAAGGAAAAGGCAACATAATAAAAAATAGGAGAGGACTCAAACTAATACCTCAACAAGAAGACATACAAATAGCCAATAAACATAAGATGCTCAACATCAAGGAAATGCAAATTAAATCCATAATGAGGTGCCCTAGGTACTACCAAAATAGTTAAAATTTTAAAGACTGACAACACCAAGTGTTAGTGAAGATGTGGAAAATTGGAACTCTGAATTTTTGTCATTAGTGAAGAGAAACAGTATAGCCACTTTAGAAAATACTTGGGCAGTTTCTTCAAAAGTTAAACATACAATTACCATCTGATCCAGCCTGGCAATTTCACATCCAGACTTTTACCCAGGGGAAATGAAAACGTATGATCGCAAATAATACTCAAATAAGCACATAATACTCAAAAAAATACTCAAATAATCATGGCAGATCAAAAGCTTCTGCACAGCAAAGGAAACAGTCAACAAAACAAAGAGGCAACCCAAGGAATGGGAGAAGATATTTGCAAATTACACTACAGACAAAAGGTTGATACCCAGGATCTATAAAGAACTTCTCAAACTCAACACACACAAAACAGATAATCATGTCAAAAAATGGGCAGAAGACAGGAAGAGACATTTCTCCAGTGAAGACATACAAATGGCTATCAGACACATGAATAAATGTTCATCATCACTATCCATCAGGGAGATTCAAATTAAAACCACATTGAGATACCACCTTACACCACTTAGAATGGCCAAAATTAACAAGACAGTAAACAATGTGTGTTGGAGGGGATGTGGAGAAAGGGGAACCCTCTTACACTGTTGGTGGGAATGCAAGTTGGTGCAGCCACTTTGGAGAACAGTGTGGAGATTCCTTAAGAAGTTAAAAATAGAGCTTCCCTATGACCCTGCAATTGCACTACTGGGTATTTACCCCAAAGATACAAATGTAGTGAAAAGAAGGGCCATCTGTACCCCAATGTTTATAGCAGCAATGGCCACGGTGGCCAAACTGTGGAAAGAACCAAGATGCCCTTCAACGGAAAAATGGATAAGGAAGATGTGGTCCATATACACTATGGAGTATTATGCCTCCATCAGAAAGGATGAATACCCAACTTTTGTAGCAACATGGACGGGACTGGAAGAGATTATGCTGAGTGAAATAAGTCAAGCAGAGAGAGTCAATTATCATATGGTTTCACTTATTTGTGGAGCATAACAAATAACATGGAGGACATGGAGAAATGGAGAGGAGAATGGAGTTGAGGGAAATTGGAAGGGGAGGTGAACCATGAGAGACTATGGACTCTGAAAAACAACCTGAGGGTTTTGAAGGGGCGGGGAGGTTGGGGGAACCAGGTGGTGGGTATTAGGGAGGGCACGCATTGCATGGAGCACTGGGTGTGGTGCAAAAACAATGAATTCTGTTATGCTGAAAAGAAATTTTAAAAAAAATCACGGCAGGTTTATGCATAATGGTAAAAAACTTAAAACAACTTAAATATTCATCATTAAGTAAATGGATAAACAAGTTATGGTATATCCATACAATGGGATGTTATTTTTCAGGAGTCAAAAGGTAATAAGCTACTTTTATATGCCACCAGATGGCAAAATATCTTGCTACAAAAATCATTTTGCTAAGTGACAAAAGCAAAGTACAAAAGGATACACAATGTATGATTCTATTTATGTCAAGCCTAGAAAAGACAAATCTCATCTAGAGAGACAGAAAGCAGATCAGTAGTTCTAAGAGCCTGAAGTGGGGGTTGAGAGTGGGGGGTAGTTAGCTGAAAAGATGTAGAAGGGGAAATTTGGGGTCATGAAAATATTCTAGATCTTGACTGTGGTGGTAACAATATAAATGTATCTATTTGTCAAAACGTATTGAACTGTATACTTAAGGTGGATACATTTTGTGTAAATACAACTCAATTAAGTTGATTAAAAAAGCAATAATTTCACTTCTAGGAATCTACCCTATGGAAATAATCTGAAATGCAAACAAAGGTTAATACTGGATGGTGTTCATAACAATGAAAACTGAAAACATCCTGTATCCTAGATTAGAGAGTAATTACAGAAAGTCAGATAAATTGTGGCATATCTTCTCAGTGGGATAGAGTAATCATAATGGTGTTTATAAGGAGTATATGATAATATCTAGACATATTTCTATCATTATGTTAAGTGCCTTCAGAAATTAAATATGCAGTATTTTTTCAGTGATATAAAAGTGAAGCATTTTCTTAAATAACATGAAAGCAAAAGAATATAGCAGTAATACTATTACTTTTTTTCTAGTTTTCTGTCTTTAAAATATTTTCTTTAATGATGATATGGAAGTGGAGAAAATGGAAAGGAAGATATTACTAGTGAAAAACAAGCTATGATTTCAGAAAATGTGATATGTTACAAGATTAGAATGTTCTAGTCCACAGTAACAAGTATTGGAAGATGGGTGTCAGTTGGTAACAACACATCAGTATTTCTGTAGAGATGTCTAAGGAAGAGGATGTTCTGACTGGTGTGACAAGCCCCAATTATCTCAGGTAGCACTGTCCTATTCCTAGATTAGGGAAAGCATACAAAGTAATATTTCGTTGACATAACGATCTTTTCAACAATGCTTAATTCCCCACTTCTGAGACACTAAGAAATTTTCTGAGCTTTCATTTGCCTTTTGAGTGATCCTACTTAGGAGGAACAGGGTGCTTGGTAATAGGTGGCTGGTCCAAACGACAGAGCCAGGTCTGTGAACCACTGTGAATGAATGAACTGTCAGCCTCAGAGTTGCATCCACACTTTTATCAGAGCAAGGCAGTTAGTTATACAGAGATAGATCCCTCCTGGCTAAATCCATAACATCACGTTGCTGAACCTACAAAGCTCGGGGGGGATACACTGTTCTATAGTAATTACAGTGTTATATAAGGAGGAGGCAAAAATTGCAAAAATTCTCCCAACACCATTGCTCTATAACAGTAGCAGAAACAGATTATTATCTGTTTAGAAACAGATTATGCCAATTATATCCTGAGCTGTGGTTTTTCTGCTTGCTGTATGGAGAGAGTCTAGAACATTCATACTCACCAATGCTTTGTCCATCATCCCAGAATATCTGGCCTTCAGCTTTCCCATTGTCATCCAAAGCAACAATCAATCCCATAAATTTTTGTCGACTATGAAAAAAAAAGGGAGTTATTTTTCTCTAGATTATAAATTGTAAGAATGAAGGACAGTTTCTGTTGAAAATATTACTCATCCAGAACAAAAAAAAATGCATTAAAATTGCACATAAAAATTCACATAAAGTTCTAAAAATAGGTAAATTAAAATGTATCTTCTTTATAAAAGGGCTTATTGCATGCCTCTTAAATATTAAGGTTTCCTGGATGGTTTAAAACAGAATTTTATTTTCAAAAATTATACACAAAAATGTCTACTATTTTACACAGCAAAATATATAAATACCATCAAGGCTGAGCTATACTTAGATATTTATCTATCAAAATATATTTGCAACTAGAAATGGATTCCATCTCAAAGGATGTATGTGCAAACTAATTTTAATTAAGTGTAGTCATATTTAAATTATTTTATGTAATGAAAGAATATTTGTTTGGAATTTTGAGGTGGTTTCTTTATAGTAGGGACTTATAAATAATTATGATAAATAAATATGAAATATGTTTAATCAATGTCCTTTAATTTTAATATACCTCAAGATATTTAATTTTTTAAAGATCTAATTTTTAATAATTAACATGAAATTATCAGGCATGATCTTCTTGTGGATTAACAATATAGACACTTAAAAAATCAAATAAACATATTTACTTACATATGTATTATAAGTAATATATTAAGATATGAATTCCTTAGGAAGAAAACCACAAAACGACCCTTCAGTAGCTTCCAGACTGCTACAGAATAAAACACAAGGTCTTGCTCTGGCTTTATACCCTCCATGACCTGATCTTGGCCTGCTTGAACTTTATTTCATCCCTCTTCCTCTCTACTCTCCAATTAAACTGACTGGTTTACTATGCCCCAAACCAAACTCATTTTTCACCTTTAGCTCTTTAATACTCCCAGAATATTTCTTCCCCTGCCTTCATATATTCAAATCCTATTTATTATTCAAGACTCAGCTCAAAGCTCTCATTCATGTGAAACCATGCTTTACACCACAAGGCTAAGTTAACTTCTTTACTTTTGAATGATTATAGTTCTTTTTATGTGTGTCTCTCTTGACATAACATGTTCCCTTTAATTTAGTACATAAACACAAATATAAATATATAAATATAAATGTATAAATATTTATATTTATATAAAATCTATCCCGAGTTGACCAAAGTAGACCTGGAAATAAGCACTAAATCCTCCTTGGATAGCCATCACAAATCAAGGAGCTCATTAATATCCCCAACATTTTTAACAGTGTGGAAAGGGGTAAATGCTACTGTCCTCATGATAATGTTTGCCCCAGGGGTGACCGAGTGGCTCAGTTGATTAAGCACTGGGCTCTTGATTTTGGCTCAGGTTGTGATCTCAGGGTGGTGAGATCGATCCCTCTTACTTGGTGCTCAGCATGGAATCTGCTTAAGATTCTCTCCCTCTACCTCTGCCCTTCCCCCGACCCCACTCCTCTACCCCCACATGCACTCTCTCTCTCTAAAATAATAAATAAAATAAAATTAAATTAAATTAAATTAAAATTAAAGAAAAATTTTGCCCCAGGCCTTGGACACAGCTATAGATAAAAGAGCTCCCCAAGACTGACTTCATGAATGCGTTCTCCCCCAGATCCAGTCAAAAGGCACTTATGGAATCGAATCAATAGGAGGGTTTGTAGTTGTATTTATTTATCCACAGAGCTTTGGTGAAGGTGGGCAGCTCCCTGAGAGGCTGCCTCATTATGACAAAGCGTGGCCATCGGTACCATCACTTGTCCTTACCTGGCTTGAGTGTTCATCGCGGGCTCTTGCCAAGGCAGGATGTAGCCTCCTCTGATGTGAAGGTTGATGTGGTCAAGGGGTGCATCCAGGATTTTCCACTCACCTGTCGACACATTGCCAGATTCCTAGGAGACAGAATATAGGCAAGGAGGGATGAAGATAAAGAGAAGAAATGAACAGATGCATGCTTTAATACAAGTCTTTCTAAGGAAGCATGTTTGAAAGTCAGCAAGAAACAGCAAGTCAAAGGAGAAAAATCTCTGATTTTAGCTTTCTTAAAAACTCTAGAAATCTAGCCTTTTCTCTGTGTTCTCCAGAGAAGTAGGAGTGAGGGGAGAGAAAAGTCAATGTATGGGTGTCAGATTTTACCTAATTATGCTTTTGTGGATAATTTTGCTTAAGCAAACCTTGCTTGGCTGAAAGGTTGAAAATTACTGCCTTAGAAATTATATGCCTGAAAGAAGAAAGTGCTGGCCACCCCTCTAGGCAGCGCGGACCAGTCTTGTTCTTCACAAAATATGTGAGTTCTTACCGTGCTGTAGTCATACCAATGGGCTTTGGGAAAATAAGCAGGAATCACAAAAGTATTCTGAAACATAAAAATGACACATTATGCATATTCCAATAATGTAATTAATAAAAATCTTTCTCTAGAATTAAGATAAAAATGGGAATTTTATTAATGATTTTAAGAGTTTGGGAAGTTTTTAAAAATTTTTTTAAGATTCTTCTTAAGACTTTATTTATTCGAGAGAGAAAGAGCACAGAGGGAGAGGGAGAGGTAGAAGCAGGCTCCATGCCGAGCAGAGAGCCCAACACAAGGCTGGATTCCAGGACCCTGATGTCATGACCCCAGCCAAAGGCAGACACTTAATCCACCTGGGTGGCCAGGTGTCCTGAGTTTAGGAATTTTAATTGAAAAAGATCTGAGAAGGGGTTCCTGGATGGCTCAGTGGGTTAAGCCTCTGCCTTCAGCTCAGGTCATGATCCCAGGGTCCTGGGATTGAGCCCCGCAATGGAATCTCTGCTCAGCAGGGATCCTGCTTCCTGCTCTCTCTCTGTCTGCTGCTCTGCCTCCTTGTGATCTGTCTCTGTCAAATAAATAGTAAAATCTTTAAAAAAAAAATCTGAGAAAATTTTTCAAACATAGAGAAAACATTTTTTTTAAAGGTTAACTTTATAAAGATGTGGGGTAACAAGACACTAAAATGAGAAATCAGTTGGGGTTGTGAAGTTTTCATTAATGGGGATTTTGAAAAAAAAAAAAAAAAGATCTCCCTTATATGTTCTAGAAAGGTATTTGCTGGAAAAGAGCGAGTAGGACAAGATGATCTTTAAAACGCCCTTCTTGTACTTGAGATTATGTGACTGAGGGTTTCTAATCTATGACAAAAAAAACTCACACTTTCCAGCACAGGGCTGATTAAGAGGGCAGGACCCAACATGAACTGACGGTCTATATCCCACGTTTTGTTGTCATTCGTAAACCTTAAAAAAAAAATAAGAAGTATGAAAGTTAGGACTGTTGCAGAGTGCTCTCCACAAGACATGGCCAGAACCTAGGCTTGCGGGAAACAGGCTGTACTCACTCATGGAAAAGGGGTCGGATGACAGTGCTGCCCTCAACATGAGCTTTATGCATCAAAGTGTAGAGGTAGGGCAGCAGGGTGTATCTGGTCTGAAGGACTTTTCTGGAGAACATCTCAAAGGTTGAATTCCAGGCCACAGGATCTTGTCTCTAAAGAGGTACAGGAACATGGGGGAGATACTTCTTTATGCTATGCTAACATTATCAGAAAAAGGTCAGCAGGCGCTTATCCCAGGTACCAGTGACACAGATCCCTCCCTTCATTTCTGTCCCATCCTCTCTCTTGCCCCTGCTGTCTGACTAAACTAGTGCTACTTCCTTCCCACTCTTTATCACAGACTCCTAAGTCCCCTGCACAGGGCTGGAGAGATGGGGCTCTATGCAGCACTGACAGAGCTTGGATGGATCTGAGTAAAATAAAAATTCTCCAAGGAAAAAGAGCTTCTTTTAGTTTAGCTCCACGGGAGCTACAAACCCTGCTGTCCTCATAGGCACACATCCCTCAAGACATAAGCAATAATGTTTTCTTGAGAATTGCTCTGTGGGTTTCCTAAGAAACCCACAGAGGGTCTGATTTTTATGGTTTTTCCTCAACAAAGAAGGACGCTTCTTTTGAGGGTAAAGAAGTTGTGATTTGAGCACCAGCTGCCGCCTCACCCTGGTCCCGATGGTGTTGTGGTTTCTGGAAAAGGGATAAAAGGCCCCCAGTTGCATCCAGCGAACACACATCTCATATTCAGCATTTCCAAAGAAGCCACAAATATCTGCTCCTGTCTGAGAAGATGCAAAATCAGAACATGAGGTGGGACTTTAGTAGGTTGCAGACACGCTGGAATATGACTAATTAATAACGGCCCCTATGTAACTTACATACGATATTCCAAAGAGACTGAACTCCATCATGCCTGCAATGAGAAGACAGCTGCGTTGGACAAAGCAGCCCTTTCAGAGGGTAGGTTTTCCCTGTCTCTTCCATACCCTACTTCGAAGCCCTGGGTCAACAATGATGAAAATATCAAACGATGGGTAGAGACTCAAACTCATACCCACGGAGAAGTCAGCTCCTGCTGCTTTCACTGCCCATGTGAACGACACGCAGACATAACGAGTGTCTCCACCGGGACACACCCCAGCCCACTCCCTGCCAGCAGGGGCCCCTGGGGGGAAGCCCACACACCGATGATGGATTTCCTCAGCTGGTCCCACACGGCCGTGTTGTCACCCAGCCAGTGGCCTCCCCAGCGGCCAGAAGAGGGGAACGTGGAGCGCGTGATGACGACCCCTCGCTGTCCCGTCACCTCCTGCACAGCTCTGGTTGGAAGGGAACAAGGAAGTGAATTGGGCGTGAATTCGAGGATGGGACAGCTGTGGGACTTCATTACAGAGAGCCGCTCCAGTCTGAAATATGAGGTGGCAATGGTCTTCCATTTGGAGCCAAAATGTGTCTTCCCTGGAAGCATCTGCTATTTAAAAGTGATTCCAAGAGTCACAGCAGGACAACTGGGATCCATCATCCCCTAAATGTGGATTTCCTTTCTTTAAAAAAAAAATAATAAATTAACTAGTTGCCTACATCGAGGTGGCAGGAAGGAGCTGGGTGAGGTGTGAGGCAGGTGTTTACAGAGCAATTGCTCTAACCGGGTATTAGCCTGGTCATTCCCGTATATATCGCCTCACAACCTCCTGAGAAGGTCTCCTTGGCCTCCTTTTCTGTTATAAAACTGAGGCTCAGAGAAGTTGGACAACGTATCAGAGGACATTTAAAGAGCAAGGAGGCAGATCCGGGATCCAAATAAGAGTATATATGACTATAGCTATTTGGTAATTCTCTCTGTGCTACTCCTCACAAAGTGGGATACATTTGGCACACAAGGACAGATATACACAAAGGATGTTCAAATACCTCCCTACGGAAGGTGGGTCTTCTGCCTGCAGCTTCAGTAAGAAAATAAAAACAATGCATGGCAGGAAAATCAATGGAACAAAAAGAGAAAGGCTATTAACAGATCCAAGTACATAATTTAATTCACATATTTGCTGAAGAAAGCATTACAAATCAATAGACACAGATGAATTATTCAGTAAACGATGTTAGGGAAAGGGACTAGCTACTGTGGCAGAGATTAATCCATTGGGTCACTTCCAGTATTTCACACCAGCATAAATCCCCACCTGGATGGATACACACTTAGACACATCCACACACGTCTGAGAGGTAATGACAGTCTGAAATAAGGCAAGGATGGAGAGGAAGGGTAGATGGGAGGCAAAGAGCTTTGTCACTGACCATTTCAGAATTCTAGAAATTAACCAGGTCTGGAAAGCAATGGAAATGGTCTATCCAAGAAAAATGACTCAATCTCAGCAGGACAGTGAGGTCTGTGGGCTTTGAACTTGGGCTGCTCCCAGCTGACCCCATCCCTTGTTCAGTGGTTTCAACAGCCAGCAGCCCTGCAGCAGCCTCACAGATCTGATCTCTTTGGGTGCTCTGTGAAAAGCACCAGCCCCTGAACATAATTGATATTTTTGTTCTAGCTTCCAACCCCCTGGATAATCTCTATTCCTAGGGTGTTGTGGCCATCTCCATTCCCAAGGTTCTGTGGCCAGAGCCTGGGAATTCCCAAAACAGTGACAATTTTCTGGCACCATCATAGGTATTCAGGCTAGGGTTCAGTTGGGACAAACAAAGCTCGGCTGTTCTTAGAGTAAATTCTGGAGAAGTAGAACCATGGAGAATTTTGCAAAGATCCTACATATTCCTGAGGACTGAAAAGACAGCACACGCACAAGGCTCTGGGCATGCCCAACAAAGGCCATGAAAGGAGAAAGTTCCAGTGACTCACTTCTGGCCATACCAGAGGTCCTGAGTCAGCAGGAAAGGAAAGGTCTTAGAAACTACCTCAAGTTGAAGGTGTGGCTTCTCCTGCTTGTCCCCTTGGCAAAGGGTGGATGACATAGAGGCCAGGAATCCAACTGACCAGGAAGGCCTTAACATTCCTTCAGCTTGACTAAATTTTAGGCAGGCTTCTTCCCTTTATTATTTTTTTTAAGTTTGTTTATTTGTTAGAGTAATCTCTACACCCAACATGGGACTCAAACTCATGACCCCGAGGATCAAGGATTGCATGCTCTTGAGATCCAGCCATCCTCTCTAGAAACACACTCACTCGTAGGTGGGTCTGGTCTGGGCCCATCCATACAGGCTGTGAACGTCGTAGTGCCGCACCCGCGAGCCGTCCGGCAGGATCTGCTCACTCTCCATGCACAGGGTCTTGCTGCTCAGGCCCTTTTCCCTGGACTCCAAATCTGAGTGGAAAGGCAGAGTTACTTCCAAAACAATTTGCTGTGTTCATTCACGAGAAATGCTCATTAGTTTTGCCGTTTCTCCATTTCATTCAATGACTTTGTTACCAGTCAACAGTTCCAATTTCAAGAATTATTTTGTCTACAAAGTCAACATCTTTATAACTAATGAAGGGTAAAGACAGGGTGTGGAACTGGGCAAGGCACGCTTCATTGTCCTCTGATATTTATAGAATGCAACCAGAGCCCACTTATCTGTACAATAAACTCCTTTGTTGTTATGACTGTTTCTTCCACTAGATGGTAACATTCTCAAGGGAATAGATCTTGTTTCAATCAACTGTATTAAGGTTTCTAAATTTTCTGATTCGTTAGTACTTGCCTGATACATAAATATTGGGGGAGGAAGGAGAAGGAAGGGAGAGGGAAGAGAGGAAGAAGGGAAGGAAGAGGGAAAGGTATGCAGGAGTTAGTGAGCCATGAACAGGATAACTGTGACCCAAACATCAAGAAAATTAGATTGCAGATTCTGTCCCACAAACTGCTGGTTTGCTGTTTCTAAGAAGGTAAGTTGCTTCCTTCCCTGGGTTTCTGTAAGAATTCAACTTTCTGAGATACCTTTGATGGTAAGGTCCTATGATGCTCTATTCTGTTTGTATTACAGAACAACTAGGGCATGTCCTTCATGAAGTGTCTGTGGACATGGACAGAGAGAGAATAGAGCCCAGATTTTCATTCTCTAACCAAAATAGTCTGTGTTGGGGGCGGGATACGTGGTTATTTAAAGTGTGAGCAATCAGTTCACAGTTACCAATGTAATCATCCATTGCTTGGTCTTTCATAATACATCATGTCATTATTTCTATGCCTGATCTGTAATTTACACTTATTCAAGGTTATTCTATTTGGGATTTTATGTCATGTGTATAAGTATTTTCATTCTCCAAAATTAGGCTTCACTTTGACAAGAGAAGGAAAACTTTCAGAGTTTTTGAGTAGGGGAGTAATTTGATGAAGGAATCATTTACATACATGGCATATAGGGTGGATTATTAAGAATTTCATCGCTGCAGCCCCTGACAGATCCATCCACAAAGTTTGATGGCTCATTCATATCCTGCAATGAGTTAACAAGAAAGATTCTGTGATGTCAGAGACACTGTGACCTTGGCTCTGGAGGACACAGATTTCACGGAGATGAACACATCTTATTTAAGAACTCAGCTAATCACTTCATTGCCTCTGTTTACTCTAAGGCATTGACCCAGATGGACTCTAAGAATCCATGTTTATCTATGTAGAGGGTGAAACTTCTAGCTTACCTGGCATTTTTAAACTTGTGAGGATTATTTCATAGTAGCAAAAATATGGAACTCATGCTGGATCCAGGATCTAAGGAGATTCCTTGATACATCTCCCCACACAAGAACCCATTTTTGTTTTCCTATGTATGAATTACTCACTTTTTATCTGTGGCCCATGGTTGCTATTCTCTTCCCCTACTCTTTCTCAGTCCAATAGCTTGGACTGATTCAGCAGAGACCAAACACAAGGACAAGTGTCTTGCTTTCTGCAGTAGATGCAGTCCTAAAGAGTTGTAGGTTAACCCAGAACCAAATCTGGAAATGAAATCATACTTGGGGGTTTATTACTAAATTTAAGCAGTGGCGGTTCCTGAGGTGAATGTTCACTGCCTACTTTGTTAGTGGAAAAGTTAAGATTTTGTAAATTGAACTACCTTTAACAGGAAACACTAAGGGCAAAGGTAGGTGTTTGGGAACCTATTTACTATTTTTTGAGTTTTTCAGCCACATCTTCCCTCCCCCAGGACAAATATCCCAGAGTAATCATCTCCCTATTCCTCGGAGCTACACACATTTCTTCATTGTCTGCTTTGCCTTGTTCAGGCTAATCTTCCATGTGTCTGTTCTGGTCTACCTACACTGAGAATAGTGGCCAGAAAAGCCCTAGGGCTTCCAGCGGGCTTGTAGGTCTATCTCTGGGTGAATTATGACCTTCTTTCAGCATAGCCCAGACCTATGAAACCCTTGAGAGCTGGCCTAGAAAATGCTCAGGATTTCAGGCCACTGGACAGTGAGGAAGAAAATTGGAACACTGATATGCTTCCTATCCTGAGACAAACACAAGTAGAAGAGCCTTTGGACACATGTCCCACAGATATTTCATGAAGCCCTGCCTTTAAGCCCAACTGACATGTGTAAGCAATATCTGAACAGGCCTTTGAAAATGAGTCTGTACCAGCACCGTGGTGAACACCTATTGTCTCTTGAATTCATGCCTTGCCAGCCCCTGCTCCACCCGGTATCACAGGATGGCCCCTCAGGCTCCCCAGGTATTAGCTTCTGAGTAGTTTGGCCAATGGGAGGCACTAGCCAGTGATTGGAGGTTGGGAGATAAGAGAAGCTGGGGTATTTGTCCCTCCCCCACTTTCTCTGGCAGCATCTCTAGTAGTGGCCCATCTCCTCCAAGGGCTCCAGCTTTTGCAGGCATGTTCCTGGGCAGATGCACAATCCTCTCTGTGTCTCTAGGGGTCCAGCACCTCAACTATACAAGAGTATCCCTCTCTCTCACTCCCCCAGCCTTAGCTCCTTCCTTTGTTTGTCTTTGCATTGCCTCTCCATGGTTTGACTCCTAACATTTCCAAAGAAGAACCACCAAGGGTGCACTTACAATCCACAGTCCATCAAACTTCAAGTTCTTCCCTGACTTTTGGAAATTTTCATAGAGCTCTTTGATTTCCATCTTCCACCATGCGGCTGTACTATTACGTAAGAAGTCAGGAAAAGCAACGTTGGCTCTGTACAGCTGTAAGAGTAAACACATACTTTCAGGATGGGTCTTCACCTGTCCAGGAAGGGGAGTCTGGGGACCAGGAAGGGACAAGGAGCAGGTACCTGGGCAAGGTACTGCCCCACTCAGATTCTGAAACTAGTCTCAGCTCTGCTGTTGTTTCTACAGAGTTTACTGTGAACACAAAGCTCAGAGAAGGCTGACTGCATTCTTTATTCTCCTAGAAGGACATTAGATAGTCTTAAACCCCCTTGAAACATGAGATCCGTTTAATGACCGGACCTTTAATCATATGAACTGGAAAATTAACTATCTGGGTCTAAATGATCAAACTTCAGATATGTAAATATTTTTTCTACACTGACCAAATAAAGGAGACCAGTCATCCAGGGAAAAGTGACCTGCAGATTGAAGGGGAGGCTAGATGCCCAGGTTGATGTGACATCAAGTGTGGAGATCAAAAACATCAACCCTTTTGAACTGGCTGGCATATTTTCTTATATGGGGACAATTCACTAAAAACCTAGTCTGTTCATAACCTCTCCAGTGAAAATATTCTGGATTTCAATTTATTATTTTTCAAGCACCATTGGATTTAAACATAATACCACTTATTAAAGGCACACATGTGAAGACACTTCACTTCATTTCCCTCTACACATTTCCAGTTTAGTTGCTTATTGTGTTTTCCGTTTCTGTCTGATCTCATTCTACCAAGAAATTACCGGTTGACAAGCATGCTCAGAGAGTTGTTTAACCAAGTCCTGGGATAACACTTATAAGTATCCAGATGTTTAGGGCAACGTGGACAGAAATCTGCACACAACTATACCTTAACCTGAGTTTCATGGTCAAGGGATGTATCCACATTCACATTGGGCAGTTCTGGCCAAGCCTATAGAAAAAGAAGAAAAATTAAAACTTCTGAAAGGCATTGCATATGGACCATGAGATGATTCACGTGTCAGACTCTAATGACATGCATCTCCATAAAATTCTTGGATTTCTTTGTCATTAATTAAATAGTAAAATCTGAATATATGAAATTCTGTTAGGAGAAAATAGAGTAGGGTCCTTTGACTCATTTCATAAGCTTTCAAAATCATTAAGCTCAAAAATAAAATAAGCTAAATCTATTTTAAATATATCCTCTGATCAATCACCTTTCAAATGACTATTCTGCTGTCTATCATAGACATATAACAAAATTCTCTCCAAAAGTAACAAATTTAAAACATGACTCTAAAGAACTAAGATTGATTTCATTCACAACCTATAAAATTAGCCTTAATATTCTTAAGTAGCATTAACACTTACTGGAGATTCCAAATATACATAGCATTAAAAAAAATCCAGAGTTTCAACCAATCTCATCTATAACTAGAAGGGCATTAACTATATACATTGATTAATTAACTAGAAGGGCATTAACTATATACGTTGATTAATTAATCCATTCAGCAAATGCTTACTGATACTATATGATAGGCACTGTACTATAATCTGTATCTACTGAGATTTAAGTAAGAAATAGTCCTTGTTTTCTTTTTTTTAAAAGATATATTTATTTAAGAGACAGAGAGACTCCTCATTGAGCAGGGAGCCTGACGCAGAGCTTGACCCCAGGACCCTAAGATCATGACCTGAGCCAAAACCAAAAGTTGGACTCTCAACCCACTGAGTCATGCAGGACTAACCCACTTAGTCCTTGTTTTCTAAGAGTTCACAGATAAATGTGTGTGCTAAGTGACATGCTATCCTCTCTGAAGATGCTAATATAGAAAATGGGAGAAATGAGCAGAGGTAAACTGGTCACTGAATGCTTCTATGAGAGTACATTTGAGTTGGTCTTGAAGTGCAGATATTATCTGGGTAAGCTGAGAAGGCAACATCCAAAGGCACAGTAAGCAGAGCATGCACCTAAAACAGCAGGAAGCGTAGCACAGTTACAAAGCAGAGTCGGAATCCTGCGTAGGAGCTTCTGTCACCTGGGGTCAGGAAGTGCACCTACAATTCTGTTGCTATAAAACAAACAGATGAAGACTGAGAGTTCATCAGACACAGACTTCAACAGACACAGACTTCAGAGCCATTCCCAAAGGAATTCTTTATGTTTGTTACGTGACCAGCTGGAATACATAAAGGTTGGAGCATCAGAATATCTCCAGACAATAAAACAAAGCTCACTGATACTTTAGAGACTTAGACCTTGGTCTTATTAATCAACATCAGGAAGATTTCTACTCATTCATGATTTATTAATTACCCAATATATTTTGCCAGGATTTACTGACAGCCTCTTTTAATCAAGACATTCTGGTGCTGATTAATTATGGGCATCTTCTCCCAAGGCTCACCTTTCCCCAGACAATGTCATTACTGTTGGGCCATTTGATGAACACATTGTTTTCCTTCCCTCTTTTGAATGGCTGATACATGGTCTCGTTGCCAGAAATAGCTGGGTCCTGCAATGAAAGGGTTTAAAACAGCAAACATGAGAAAAACAGCTCCAAGACAAAAAACAAAAACAGAATACCCATAGATAATTTGCTTTATGTCTATAAAATTCTTGAGGAATAAAGTATGCTGTTGGAAAACATTCCTGGAGATAAGCCAGGTTAATAAGACATTAACCTCCCACAAAGAAAGTCAATTTATTGTGCTCCTAGAGTATGGTATCAATACTCTTTAAGAACATGAAGCTTCTTTCTTCTGTTCTGTGTCCAAAGTGGCTTCCCTGTTTACCCCATCCCATACCTGCCTTAGTTACCCTATAATAGTATCCTATTTCACAACTGTCATATAAATCACCACTATCTGAAATTATCTTTAATTTTTCTCATTTTTTGAAGTTTTTATTGCCAGTTAGTTAATAGGCAGTGTAATGTTAGTCCAGTTGTACAATATAGTCATTCTTTAATGGTGATTTATTGGCTGTCTCTGATTGAATAAAATCCTGTAAGAAAAAGGACAATGTCTGATTCATTAATTTCGATCATACACACACACACACACACACACACACAGACACATACACACACACACACACACACTTTTTAGAACAGTGATTTTCAAAGACCCAGTATTTAATTAATACTTGAATGAATGAATGAAAGTCAGGAAATAATGTTCTATTTCTTGAAAGCTAGAAGGGAGGACCATTTGCAGGTAACTACTTCCGTGTTTATCAAAATACAGCCTCCAGTGCAAAATCATAAATTGATGTTCTGAATCTTAGCTCAGTTGTTTGTGAGTTTAATTAAGAAGAAGTAAATCCCCTGAGCCTCACCATTGCTGAGTAATGATACAACTGAAGTGGCTTTTGAACCCCCTAAGGTAAATATGAGACTAGGATACAGCGATTCCCTCAGAGGCACAGCCTAGAACAATGAGGCCTTTTGGATGTTGCTGTTATGTTCAGTGTTTCAGTCCATAGTTCTGACTTTAACCAAGGGAATCGTAGTAACAAATTACACCTCAGTGATACTTATGAAAAATAAATATTGCAAAGTATCACCTTCGGAAAGCCATTTTTCATGTGTTCTGTCCTCCTTTGTTTATTCGCTTTTTAAAACTTAAAAAAAAATTATAGTCTCACAGGAAGTTGCAAAAAATGTACAGGGAAGTCTTGTGTACTCTTCATCTAGTTTCCCTCAATGCTACTATTTTAAAGCCATGAACACAGAAACAGAAAATGGGCTCTAATCTTCTAAATACCTACCAGAATGAGAATGAATCTCATGCCATTATTCTTCATTTGCTCAATCAAGAAGCTGAGGTTTTTGAAGCTGGAGCTGAGAGTGAAGTCCAGCTTCCGGTCCATGTAATCGATGTCTACGTGCTGGACGTCCTACAGGAAGGAGCAAGCAAGGTGCCGGGGATCCTATGGCAGTACCCCTCAGGACCCACAAACGCCTCTGCCGACCCCAGCCCAGGCCCCTCCTAATTTGTCCAACCCCCCCCACCACAAACACACACTTTTCAATTCTGAAGACTGAAATTGCTTTCTGATTCTTACATACAGATCACCTGTCCCCATCCTTTTCCATCTGTTCCCCCAATTGGAATTGTCTCTGCTTTCCCTCCCTTGATTCAATTCTTTTCCACTCTTCACATTGCAAATTGGCGAGCCTATCAAAACAAGTGCTAGTTGAATATTCAAGGGTAGAAAGCAGGACTTCCCTGAGAAATATATTTATTTCCCCCCTTCCAGTAAACCTGATTGGATTTATTACATTTAGAACTGTATTATTGTATAGGTTTTTAGAATGTGTGTATTTCTGCCATTCTGTTCTACTGCATGGTCCTTGAGATGAGAATTTTGTCTTCCCTTTTCTCTAAATATTACCAAACCAGGCTTCTGCATGTGAAAGTCACTCAATCTAGGGTTGGTGAGTGATGGCTAATGTGGTTAATACTCACTTGAAAAAAAGAGATACTCCTTTTTGGCCTGAAGAGGATAATCACCCATATTGCCTTAAGATTCTAGGTAAAACTTGATTGGGGAACAGAGACTTGTGCAAAAGCCAAAGCTTGGAAAAGAACAAACTGACATATTATAAACACTGATCACCTTGGTGCAGTAGATCTCTGGATTTTTTCATCTGTTAATTTTCCTACTTTTTCTACTTTACATTTAATACATATATGGTAGAGTAGTACATAAAAATAAAATACTTAAAGCCTGGGTGAATGTTTCAAATTATCTTGATGACAACATCATAACACTTCACTTTATTCCCATCTTCCAGTCATTAGTTGTCCTCTAAACTCTCAGGAGGTGGACTGACAGCAGAGAAAGAGCATGAGGGATGAGAAACTGATGATTACAGAGGAAGGGTGTGCTCTCTGTGGACTTCTGCTTGCTGGCAGCAATGGCCTACACTTCTTGGGGCTTAGGAAGGGGACTAGGTTGTCGTTGTGTGATATGCATATGTGAGTATGTGTGATCCCCAGAGAGTGAAGACTTGATTTTAGCTGCTTTCTTTCATACTGTCACTTTATATCCATCCTCTCTAAGAACTGTCATCCTTTTGACATGATTCTCACTTAGAAGTTCCCAAAGTCATGACTTAAGACTAGCCATGCTTACTGCAGGGCATTCTTGGCAAAAGGCAATGAATGAGTAACAGTATCCCTCAAACACACTGCCAACCACTGAAGAATTAAGGCAACTTTCAATTTTGAACCCTCGATTTAAGGGTGGCGTGAAATAAATTTGGAAATCACTGTATTCCACACAAGACTAGCTCTGTAACTACATTTTCCTGTACTGAAGTCATCATCAATAATTTCCCTGAAGACATTTTCAATCTATAATTAGGCACAAATTCCCATAACTAATTAAACCATGGGCTGAGTGGGGGATTCATACATAGGGAATCTGTGCCGCCATCATTGCCTCATACAACTGGGAGATCTCAGTATCATTCTGGTATCCATAGCGACTTAGCTGGAATCCCAAGGCCCAGTATGGAGTCATTGCTGGCCGACCAATCAACTAGAAGAAAAAAGAAAAATGGGTCCAGGAAGACTTTGGGGGAAAGGGAAGAAAAGACTTATACTTGAAGCAATTTGAGCACTTCTACTGAGCACTGTCTGATCTAAGAGGTCTTGCTCAAGAAAAATAAGAGAGTTAAATAAATATGGACTGATCATCAACATGCAGGATGACAGAAAATCTCCTGTATTCTAGAGATTCTACTCTGGGAAGGCTAAGAACTCAGGGGTTGTTACTGATTAGATATTCTTAGGATGCTTAGCAAATAATTAAGAGACACATGGGTTATCTAAAGGCATATCTATATGCCTTTATACCTGTAACATTAGAACCTAACTTCAGGAAAGACAGCAATAATGTAGTAGGAATACCCAAGGGACATAGAAACAAAAATCAACTATCTCAGTGATAAGAACATGGTAATAACCAAAAATCACTTGATTGTTTATCAATGCATAGAGTGAATTCTAACCTCAGTGTATTGTTGAGTTACAAGCTCAGGGGTTGGCCCCAAAACCATATAAAAGTCCAAAATCCCTCCTGTGGTGCGGTATGTCAGGGCAGGAGTGGGCTGGAATGACACATCTGTTTTAAAAAAAAAAAAAAAAAAGAAGAAGACAAAGAGTCAAGGAGTCCTTGGAGCTATACATCCCCTAGATAGTAAATCTGCCCTAAAATGTACTCTTTACTTTCTCTCTTTCTTTCATGCTTTCCTTCCCTGGAAGGTTTTCTCTTATGCTGTGGAATAGGTGGATTTGCAGGTACCGCAAACATAATCTCAACATCTTGTATCACTCTGTGAAAGGAAGTTAAACTGTCACAGTAAAAGGTCATGCAATTTGGTCAAAATTTTACCACTAACACCTGGCCTAAAGCTCTTCATAAATGTGGAAGGAAGAAATGAAGAAAGGAAGGAAGGAAGGATGGAAGGAAGGGAAGGAAAGAAGAAAGGATGGAAGGGAGGGAAAGTCAGTTTTATTCCATTTCCCTTGCCCTTGAATTTCTCTATTTCTACTGGTATTCCAGATCCCAGGAAAGTAGTCACAGCTGGTTATGTGCAGGGAATGTGCCTCTGTCTTACCCATGGCATTGCTGTTTAGCAGGAGCACCCCATGGGCGCTGCCATCCTCCTCCAGGGCCATGTAGTAGGGGTGGACGCCATAGGAATTCTTCTTGTACTGGGAGAGTCATGGGGGACAGTAGGCAGTAATCAAAAAAAGAAATATCCAAAAAGTTGTTTCTACATCATAACCCAAACAGCAAGCTCCTATTCAATATTGAAGATTCACCACAATGTCATGTTCTTTATTAAACCTTTCTTTCTACCCCAAATAAAAAAATCAGGTGCCCTCCCCCTCCATGCCCTCCTCATTTATTATTACATAATTCTCTCATAGCACAGATAATATTAATATAATTATATTACATATATAATATATATATTATATAATACATATATAGTATGTATTATATATGTATGTATTATATATATGTATATACATATATGTGTAATATGTATATATAATATATATCATATATTATATATAATATATATCATATATTATATATAATATATGATATATATTATATATGTTAATTATGTATATAATATATGAGGGGGAGGGATATATAATATATATTTACCATTAATTCTGCATCTCTCTCTCTCTCTCTCTTACTAGCCTATAAACCTCTGGAGAACGGACACCGTTTTTTAAATAAGACATGTACCTGACACATAGAATATACTAAAGAAAAGTTTACGAAGTAAAATCCATAGTCCACAGGAAAAAAGTATGTTAGGGACAGAAGGAGCGTAACCCGTGGCCTATTTCGTCTGAGAACAGAATTTATCAACACAAGGTGAAGCTCATTAATCGGCACTCTACATGTACATATGGATTAAGATAAATTTATACGGAGAGAAACTGATCGATAGTCTTTTTCTTTTGTGCTTACTGCTGGGGGCTCATCACGAGCAAACATTCCCCACGTGGTCCAGCTCATACTTCTTCTGAAAGCTGTGTGCTCCGTCTCCCCAAAGCCATAGATGTACTGAGAGGGGAGGCGAGTAGAAATGGAGAGGAACATGTCGTTGAAGGTGAAGCCAGGCAGCTGAGAATCCCAACTGTAACACAAAAGCATACCTCCACATTGCCCTGATCATGGGCAGAGTAAGCAGGGGGCCTGTTTGGGAATTCTAGTGGCTTCCTCAGCCTTCTAAAGGAATGCACAGCTGGATGCAGGTTCAAATACTGTGAAACGACATAGCTCGTAACAAAGGCCATGACTCACTGCCAATGTTTTTATTCTGTGGTCTGCCAGGCTGAGAACTCCTTTTCTAGGCCATGGGCTCCTTGAAGGCAAGGACTATGTCTCACTCATCTCTTTATCCCAGTGATCATTGGAGAACCGGTTTGTATACATGTATGAATCAATAAGCAAGGTCTAATCACGTTTCCCAAAAGAAAAGGGTAAAGCTCTTCACATGAGTTCTCTAGATTGGTCAAAGGACTTCTTAGCAAAGAAGGCAACTAACTGACCAAAGTTAAACACTCAGTCAAAGAGAGGAAAAGGCTGTCTACATGTGCGCACAGAGGTGATGGTTTTTACTTGGAAGGGGAACTTCAGCCCCAGGCAAAATCCTTCACTTCATTCCATTCAGCAACAAGACAAGGGATGAGAAATGACAACTCTTTTCCCATTTAACATTGGGAAAAGACTTTAAGTCTACAGCGCTGATAAAAGCAAAGATTTTAAGAAGCTGTTTCTCTTTCCTTAGAAAACTTTCCCTCTCTTCCAAGTCTTCTGTTATTTTATAATGAGGCTACATAGAGCTGATTTCTATCCTTGGTCATGCTCACTAAAAAGAGTTTTCTGTTCTACTCAACAAGAACAATGAGTAGAACATGCATTTTTCTTTTTTCTGAAATTGAGCAACACTTAGTTTAAGCCTTTGATTAATTTTTCTTGTTGAGTTAGTGACTAGTAAACAGGGAGTAGATCTGTTGCTCCATTTTCTAACACACACATACACATACTTATATTGTCTCTAAGATTAATATTTTATGTGCATTAATTAGAACTACCATAATTAGGCCCAGAACCACTTTAGTGAGAACTAAATAAATAGTGCTTACATCACAGTGCCAGAGCTTTTTCTTCGAATCTGGATCCCAAAAGGATTGTTTTGAATCTTGACATCATACAGACGGTCTTCAGGAGAGCCAACTGGAGAGGGAGGGGTGTTCAGAGGCACGGGGACCTCGTACCTTTTGTTTGTGGAATCAAAGATCTAACAAGAAGAGAGAAGGAAACTTTCTGATGGTATAATCTTAGACCTAAAATCTCTCCTGCCAGTTAATATCATTCAGTTCCCATGTTTTCTGACCAGTTTGAATCACATTGGGAGGCATCAAATATCCCAAAGCAAATGGATGTGATTTGCTACCTACAATGCCCAATGTGGATCCCGAACTCCCAAATGCCTCAGAAACACCTATTCAGAAGCAGGGAGGGGACTTCCTCTAAATAATTTATGAATTCAGTATATAGAATTTCACAGATAGAATGTGTGTGTGTGTTTGTGTGTGTGTGTGTCTGTTTATGAGCACATGAATATGTATGTGCACATAATAATGTAAGATTATGTTTGGGCATGTATGTGTATGTCAGAAATTAGAGAACTGAGTTTTTATATGTATTCGGATCTTACTGTTTGTGCTTTCAGATGCTTAAGACAAGTTTGGCCCATAGTCCTGCTTCTTAAAATTGTGTTTCTCAGACCCTGGTGGCTCGTCAAAAATGCAAAGTCTCAGGCCACCCTCCCCTTCATTTTCTGAATCTGAATCTTCATTTTCACAAGATCCCCAGAGTGATTCCTCCCACATACTGTGAAAAACAATGCTTAGAGCTGAGTTGTTCAAGGTGGTATTGTCACCAGTGAGACCCTGTGACCCCCTGAATTCAAGACTGACCTCCTGAACTCAGGAAACTCCTAGAAGTTTCTGCCTAACTGTAACTTCATCTTTTAGAAACTAACTATGGGATTGCTGGACCAGGAAAAGAAACATTTGAGGAGAGGTCTGTGTAGATGAATCAGAAAGTGCAGGCACAGTTACCTCAGCTTTATTATAATGTTAAAACCCCCTTCTGATATTCCTCCCAAGCCCTAACAAAAGGAGCCCGCTTACCCCTGTTGGGGAGTCACTGGCTTTGGAAATCATTCCCTGAGATCTCCTTGATGACCTTGAGAGGCAGCTCCACCTGCTGTAGTCTCTGTCTCTAACTCACCCAGCAGCGGACCCACCAGACACTTGGAGCCGTTAAACGCTCGAAAGGTGATAATCTGAATTGAGACTTGTTATAAGTGTAAACTATACACCAAAATTTGAAGAGTTAGTATGATTCAAAGATTCTAGGGGCACCTAGGTGGCTCAGTTGTTAAATGTCTGCCATCGGCTCAGGTCATGATCCTACAGTCCTGGGATCAAGCCCCGAATCCGTCTCCCTGCTCTGCAGGAAGTCTGCTTCTCCCTCTCCCTCTCCTACTTGTGTTCCCTCTCTATCAAATAAATAAATAAAATCTTAAAAAAAAAATTCTAAAATAGCTCAATAACTGTATTTGGATTACATGGTAAGATAATATTTCAGCATGTTGGTTAAATAAAATCTTATTAAAATGAATTGCATTTGATTTTTTTTCAAATACATCCTTAGGAGTATGGCTAGTAGGAAATACATGTGGTTCACATTGTACTTCCTTGAGAGCAGAGCTGTGGGTCTCAAAGTGTGGCCCCTTGACCCACCTCAGCATTAGAATCATGTGGAAACGTGTTAGGGATGCAGACGCTCAGACTGGGAACTCCAGGGCTGAGACCCAGCCATCTAAGCTTTAACATCTGAGCTTTAATTTAACAAGAATTGTGGGTGATTCTGGAGCTTTCTGAAGTTTAAGAACCACTGTTAGAGAAATAATTCTAACACTGGACGTGAGTTAATGCCACTCATGTGAGTTTCCCATGGAGCGAACACATTTTTCACAGGGCTAAGGAGGGGTCCTTTGAGGACACTTATGACTGAGCGCTTGGCAGTGCAGAACATTCACAACCCCGGTGGGTCCAAGATCACATCCTGGACTGGTACCTCTCTGGGCCATGGTGCCTTTGTCCATTAAATGATGGATTTGGACCAACTGTGTGTCAATGACTTTCATCCACATGGAGCTGTAAGAACTCTGTGTTGAGGATCAAAACCTGCACCACCTTAGAGATTACCTTGAACTGCAGCATGTATTCTGTGTGGTAGATCACGCTCAGCTGGAGGAAGCTGATTGTCGCAGAGAGAGAGCCAGAGGCAGTGGCTGCTCGGGCTGATTCAGGGGCCCCCAGGTGGGCAAGTTTTGTGGTGATGCCCGTAGGCAGGTACTCAATGTTACTGACGGCATAACTAGGGATGGTGTCGTAGTAACAGGTGGGCACGTCAGGAACAGTTGTGTTCTGGAATAAGAGAAGAAATTCCCCATCAGCCTCTAACATCACACTTCAAGGGTCTGATTTCTGGAGAAGCTGGTTCACACAAACTAAGTCTCTTACACCGTGCCCATTATTATGGCTTTAATTATGTTCCTCCCCAAAATGTGAAGTCTTACCCTGGTATCTGTGAAAGTGACCTTATTTGGAAATAGGGTCTTTACAGATGATCAGATTCAATGAGATCATTAGTATCGGTCTAATGTGATATGACCAGTGTCCTTATTAAAAGGGGAAATTTAGACACAGAGACAGACCTGCACCCAGTGAGATGCCCATGTGAGGATGAAGGCAGAGATTGGGGCAATGTTTTTATAAACCAAGCAAGACCAAAGAGTGCCAGAGAACCACCAGAACCTGGGAGAAAAGCACAGGACAGAGTCTCCCTCCCTTTCCTTAGAAGGAACCAACACTGCTGACAGCTTGATCTCAGACTTCTAGCTCCCAGAACGCTCACATAACAGATTTCTGTTGTTCTACGTCACCTAGTTTGTGGCACTTTGTTACGACAGTACCAGTAAATGAATACATCCATTTAAAAAAACACATGCTCTTTGGCCTCCTGTCCTGGGTGGGCAGGTAAGGGTAAGCAGGAAGCCTGATCTGGAGACTGGAATCCTCAGGCAGGGTTCTACTCCTGGTGTCCTCATTGCTACCATTGTGACCTTGAGGTAATCTCTCTGACTTTCATTCTATATATCAAATGAAGAGAAAAAGTCTTACCAACTTACCTTCTGCATGGACTCTCTGATAGATGAAAAAAAAAAAAAAAACCCTCACTTAAAATACTCAATACACAATGCATACCCAACGTATTGTTGCTGTGTTAAAAATAAAAGTGGGGTTTTAAATGCTGTGGTTGGAGGAAAGAGAGAGCCAGAGTGGCAGTAAGTGTTTTCTGATTCAGGATATCTGAGGAAAACACTGGTCTCCTCTCACCCGGAGTTGGCAAAATAATTTTTCAGTTGACATAATGTCATTTTTTTTTTTTCTGAAGGATGATTGCTCTTCAACCCATCAACAGTTTGGAAGTGTTTTCTAGGTGTCTAATTATCCACGGGAAGTTTCTCCAACTTTCTGCTCACTGTGGTGGTGTGTTCCTGATCATTACCTCCCAAAGGCACCCCCGCTGCCTGCAACTCTCCTCAGAGACTGCAGGATCCTCAGGGTAGCAGTTGAATTTCTCCAGGTCACTGACTGGAAGTTTCCATTCGATGGAGAAATTCTCACCAAGTGCCAGTCCCTTGAGATCCCTGATCTTCACCATCTGAGGAAGGAGAAAGGAGGCTGCATGACAAACAAGGTGAAGTTGAGCCACCCAGCCAATGTCCTTCCCTGATGATCTGGAAGGGAAGCTAGCCCTTCATCCAAGACCACTTCATCATGGGATATTTGGAATATTATTTTTTATCCTCTGGGTCTTTCCACCTCCCTGTCAGGAAAATGAACTTGGCTTATTTCTGACCTTTCTCACCTCATGGAGTCACTGTGGAATATTGAAAGGGAAGGGCTTTCATCATGTTAAGGATTACAGATCATAAGCAGGGCTCTCTGTAAGATTCGTTGCACCCTGGGTGTGGTGCTCACACACTATAATAATGATGCCAGTAGTAACAATAGTTAAACTTTATGGAGCATTTATATGGGCCAAGCACTGTGATAACCACTTTAGATGCATTATCTCCACCAATCCTAGAAGGTAATCCTATGCTGCAACTAATACGGCTATCTTCATTTTACAAAATAGAAAACTGAGGGTAAAGAGGTTTAATGCTTTGCCCATGATCTCATAGCTAGGAGACAGCAGAACTAGGGCTGGAACCCATTCTGCCTCGTACAGAAACCAGGCTCTTATTTTTTGCAATCTGCATTGTCAAAATGGAAGGGGGCTGCCCTAAAAAATAGTGAATTTCCCAGCACTTGAAACAGTCAACTAACAGTTGGAACCTTTTGTTAAAGATTAGCTTGTAAGGAACTCATTCAGTAAGAGCAGAATTGGATTATCCCTCGTGTTTTTTTCAACTCTCCTTCAGGGTAATGGTATAAAAGCAGTGTGTCAGTTGTGTCTCACAGAGAGTCTTTAACTTAAATGAGAGGACAAACGTGTAAATACTCTCCAGAACTAGGCCAATGTACTGAATCATATTTTCACTATATCACATCTGGGATCAGCAGGTCTAGTTTTAAATCTGCCCAGAGAAGAACTGCCTTGCCTCAGAGTCCCAGCGCCCACTGTCTTCTTCAGTGTTCTGATGCAAACAAAGCTCAGGAGTCCATATTTAGCACGCATAGTTTCTCCTGCAACTGCCCTGTGGTACGGTAGACTTTGCAGCAAGCTAGCTGTCTCTGAAACTGCCCAAAGCGAAAAGAGCAAGGGAGAGCTGGCTGTCAGAATCTTAGGCCCGGGCTTTTGACAAGGGCCCTGCAAGGATGGAACAGTCGCCCACCTTTGATGAAACATTGTAGGTAACATTTGAAATGGAGGTGGCAGAATTACTATGTAAGACAGTAAAATCAGTAGGTTGCTTGTCCATTCCCAAGATTATGATATCTGTAAACATGAGGTTGTTAGGGTCCATATAGTTATTATTTACAGTCTTTGCCTGTAGACGATTCTGGAAAGAAAGAAAAAAACACAAAAACATCTGTTTAGAAACTAGGTACACCACCACATACCACTCAACATTTTTCTTTCTGACATCTGAGGTATGTCTTTTATCTCTGAAGTTCTCATTGGTGCCTGGTGATCATCCCCAGGGAATTTGCTAACCCAGACTCTTTCCAGCCTTCAATCTTTCAGTAACATTTCATGTTTGTTTTGGCTCACTGGTTACTGATTGATTCCATCACTCAGAAAATATGTTCCTGACATCACAGAATTTCCAAGTGGACAAGATGGGTACTCTTTTTTTTTTAATTACTTTTATTAACATACAATGTATTATTTGTCCCAGGGGTACAGGTCTGTGAATAATCAGTCTTACACATTTCAAAGCACTCAACATAGCCCATACCCTCCCCAATGTCCATAACCCAGCCACTCTATCTCTACCCTCCCAACACCCGAGCAACCCTCAGTTTGTTTTGTGAGATTAAGAGTCTCTTACAGTTTGTCTCCTTCCTGATCCCATCTTGTTTCATTTTTTCCTTCCCTACCCCCTACAACCCCCTACCCTGCCTCTCAAATTCCTCATATCAGAGAGATCATATGATAATTATCTTCCTCTGATAGACTTATTTCACTTAGAATAATACCCTCTAGTTCCATCCATGTTGTTGCAAATGGCAAGATTTCATTCCTTTTGATGGCTGCACATTATTCCATTATATATATATATACCACATCTTCTTTATTCATTCATCTGTTGATCATCTAGGTTCATCTAGGATCATCTAGGACATCTAGGTTCTTTCCATAGTTTGGCTATTGTGGACATTGCTACTATAAATATTCAGGTGGATGTGTCCCTTTGGATCACTACATTTGTATCTTTAGGGTAAATACCCAATAGTGTGATTGCTGGGTCATAGGGTAGCTCTATTTTCAACTTTTTGAGGAACCTCCATGTTGTTTTCCAGAGTGGCTGCACCAGCCTGCATTAAATGGGTACTCTTAAATAAAAAGACACCAGCACACACACAGACCTATTGGCCCACAAAGATGAAGACACACACACACACATACGAAGTACCTAAATACTTTCTTTTTCCTTTTAATGATGATGAGGATAGGAGCTAAAATTTATGAGTGTTTACTCTGTGCCAGGCTTGGTGCTAAGCATCTCATTCCATTCTGACAGCAAGCTATGAGCCTTCTTGGGAAGACAGAAGCCCCGGGGAAGCAAACAACTTTCCCAGGGAATCATAGTTCAAAAGTGATGAAGTGGAGCTCTGACCAAGGTGGACTGAAGAAAAAAAGGGGGGGGATGGGCACTTTGATGTTTAAAAAGATTAGGGAACCCACAAGCATGCCCAAGTGATTTTTTTGCAAAGGCTCAAAAGTTATGTAGTAGAGAAAAGAGAGACTTTTCAACAAACGATGCTGGGTGAGATGGCCATCCAGAGGCCAAAACTAAAATCTGTGTCTCAATCTCACATTGTGTATAAAAACTAACTCAAAGCAGATCATAGACTTAAATGTAAAAGGTACAACTAAAATTTTTAGGGAAAAAAAGAGGAGAAAAAATATTCAAGATCTAGAAAAAGTCCTTACAGTGGACACGAAAAAGCACGATCCATAAAAGAAATTAGAAAGATAAATTAGACACATCAAAATTTAAAACTTTTGCTTAGTGAAAAAATGAAAGGACATGCCTACAGACTGATAGGAAATATTTACACACCACGTATCCAAAACAGAAGTCCTCTCTAGAACGTATAAAGATGTCTCAAAACTGAACAGAAAAACAAAACAGGCAGTCAATGAGAAAATAGGCAGAAGAACTGGACAGACATTTCATCTAAGGGAATATAAATATACACAGATGGCAAATGAAAGGATGGTCAACATCATTAGAAATAAAGAAACACAAATTGAAACCACAATAACAGGTAATAAGATAAGATAATACCCTTATCAAAAGAACTAAAATTAAAAAAACTTATGACAACATATATGCTGGCTATGATACAGAGAAACTGGGTTGCTCAAGCATTGCTGGTGGGAATGCAAAATAGTAGGTCCACTCTGAAAACCAGTTTGGCAGTTCCTCACAAAACTAAACATGCGATCACTGTAAGACCCAGCAACTGCACTTTTGGGTGTCAATCCCAGACAAATGGAAACCTGTCCATGAGTGTTCATAGCAGCTTTTTTTTTGTAATAGCTATGCCTGGAAATAACCATTTATTAAGTGAATTGTTAAACAGAAGGTAGATATATATATCTTGGAATGGTCCTCAGCAACAAAAAGGAATAGATTTTTAATATGCAACGCCTTGGATGAATTTTGAGAGAATTTTGCTGAGGGAAAAAAATGTCAGTTTCAAGCTTACATGCTGTATGATTCCATCTACATCAAATTCTTGAAAGGACAAGATGTTCCCATGAGGGGAACCTGGGTAAAAGGGACAAGCAGAACTCTCTGTATTATTCCTTACAACTGCATGGGGCTCTATAATTATCTCAAAATAAAAAGGATAATTTAAAAAACAATATGCGTTCTTACTCTTCATTCTTCCTTTCTTAAAAGAAAGGAGAAATAAAGGAAAGAGATACTCCACAAAAGTAACCTCACACATGTACAATCAGACTTCAAAGAAAATCAAATTAGAATTCTCATATCCTCTGATAGATAGCGTTATTGCCTTTTTTTCCTCTTGATGCCTTTGGGAGAGAGAGATGAGGCAAGCAATGATCTGTATCTTTCTGACCATCCAAACTCTCAAACCCATCTTCCAACCTCTCAAAACCACCATTTAGTACCTGTGCCAAGTTTTGGGGGCTGGAAAGGAAGGCCATTATAGAAGAACCTCAAAAAGGCCCCATACCACTCATCACCCCTGCCCACATCTCACACACACTTGTACCCCATTCCCTCTAGCCAAAGACACATCCCAGAAGTTAGGACTCATCAAGCTCAGAGACAATGATTTTTTTTTTCCTAGAATAAAGAAAACAAGTTCTTCACTGGAGTCATACTGACTTGAGAGGCTTATATATCTAACATAGATTAAAAACTCTCATTTTAACTCTCATCTTTTCTGGGACCATCATGGGCACCATCCCTGTTCCATATGACCAAGCATCACAGCAAACCAAAAATTCAAAAGGCAATCATAGAAAAGAACATATACTGCATGTTCCTCAAAAACAGTACTTACAGAGCTGACAGAAAAATCATACAGAATATACTTCTTTTCAGCATCTAGAAGAGAGAGAGGAGTACCCATGATTATAGGAAGCAGAGGAGCTGCATGGTCATGCTTTTCTCTCCTTTTTCTCTGCTTATCCAGGTTCTGCCCTTTTTGCCAAACCTCCACCAAGTTTCCTGGACTGCTTTGACTAACCCTAATTGCTTTGCCCCTGCAAACTCCCATGACTCTCTGTGGTACCATTTTGCTGGCATTTAATACATTGTGACTTGCATTTGTAGTCATCCACATACACATTGTATCTATCCTGCTGGACTAGGAGTTCCTGAGAGGCAATGCCTACATCTTATTCATCTTCATATCCCCTGCCTCAGGGCAATAATAAATATCCAATAAATATTAATAAATGCTAATTCTACGCAGGGCAGGGTTTTTATATAATCACAGACCAGAAGCTTATGTCAGCCACTTCTATGGGAATCTTATAATGGAAAAGCATACTATACAAATTAGGATATTTCCTCCTCAATAGTAATCAAAGCAGTATTTTACAAATCTATTAACAAAAATGTATTATTTGATATTGGTAATGACACCCAAAGAAGAGATAATTTAATTAAACTAAACCCAATAATGTCTGTTGCTTTAGTAGTCAATAACATACAGGTTGATCATCTGATCTATTTTAATGCATTGCGCTTGGCTAACTGAACTTCCAGAATAAATTCGTTCCAAGCTTGCAGAAATCAGCACCGATGATAATAGAGTTAGTGCCATACTGGCCAGCCTGCAATGACTACTTTTCACTGAGAACCCCAGGGAGGGGACCACCGGGAGGCCTACCATTAGATACACCATCATCCCAGTACAGCTCGCCCCGTGCCTGTCTCTTGTAGTCCAAGGCAACAATGAGTCCCAGGGAATTCTTTCGACTGTAAAAGAGCAACTCCCAGTTTCAGAAAATGAAGAAGGCATAGAATGTTGTTCAACCAGCCCCTTTCATGTCTCAGGGACAGATGAACTCAGAGTCTACCCCAGAAACAGAGTAGATATTGACATTTTATGGAAATATGGACATTGGGTGTGGTTAGACAGCAGAGGCTGGTAATGAATGACCGTAAGAAGAATGGTAGAAGGAGACAGTTCCTACCAAAGACTGGGTTTGCGATACTACTAACAATTGGCACTTACTGGGTGCGTGCCTTGCGCCCGCCATTCTTCTAAGTGTCCCATATACAGTAAGTCATGTCCATTATTCCATTTAACCTGCTTGATGACACTAAAAAGTCCAGCTGTTATCATCCCCGGTTTGCTCGTGTTGTGCAGCAACACAGAGAGGATGTTGCCCAGGGCAACACCTATGGTAGTGACAGAGCTGGGGTCTGAACCTGAACATTCTGGCTCTTGACCTTGGAAGCTATATTCACTTCTGTGTGATAACTCTCACCTCCTCTTTAACTTGCATTCACTCAAGAAAATCCGCTTGAAGATAGTTTCTGGTCATAGGGAAATCCTCACAAGTGATTATTTTGACTGTTCTTAAATCTGATTCAATTCCCAAGTGAAAGACTCTAGAAACGTGAAGACTAAGGCCACCTTAAGGTAAATGAACATGAAGATACCACTTTGGGGCCAACCTTGAAAGGAGGTGAGAGACATTCCTTACTGGAGATGTCTTCCCTTGACTTATCTACTTTTAGTGTCTGTTTGCCTGTCCCACAACATCGTCCCTTGGCACGTCAGGGCAGTTACACCTTAGAAGAATGAGGAGCTTACCTGGCCTCTGTGGTTGTGCTGGGTTGTTGGATGGGAAATATGAAGCCCCCTCGGAGGTGAAGTCCTATCCTATCGAGTGGCAGCAGCATATCCACCAATTGTTTCCTCCACTGGATGGCTACCCCCTAACCAACAAAAGGATGACAGAGCAGACAAGGGACCGTTGGACTAGGAGGGACCATGCGGATCATTCTAGATCAGTTGCCTCATTTAAAGTAAGTCAGTCAGGGCAAGACAAATGCTCTATGATTTCACTCATTGTGGAATTTAAGAAACAAAACAGATGAACATAGGGGTAAAAAAGAGAAAGGCAAACCATAAAACAGACTCTTTTTTTTTTTAAGATTTTATTTATTTATTTGACAGAGATCACAAGTAGGCAGAGAGGCAGGCAGAGAGAGAGAAAGAGAGGGAAGCAGGCTCCCTGCTGAGCAGAGAGCCCAATGTGGGGCTCAATCCCAGGACCCTGAGATCATGACCTGAGCCAAAGGCAGAGGCTTAACCCACTGAGCCACCCAGGTACCCCCATAAAACAGACTTTTAACCACAGAGAACATTGGTTGCTGGACGGGAGGTGGTGGGGGGATGGTTTAAATGGGTGATGGGCATTAAGGAGGGCACTTGTGATGAGCACCAGGTGTTACATGTAAATGATGAATCACTAAATTCTGCTCCTGAAATTAACATTATACTATAATGTAACTAAGAGGAATTTAAATATAATTTAAATATAAATTCTCCTCCTGAAACTAACATTATACTATAGTGTAACTAAGAGGAATTTAAATAAAAACTTGAAAAAAAAAAAAAAAGAAAGAAAAGCAGAGATCCCCCCAAAGGAAAGGGCAGCCCAAAGCATAATCAAAATAGATAGCAGATCTGAGCCTCCAACCTGTCCTATTTCTTTGAATTACGCTGTGTGGTGATTCTTCCACAACTGGGCTTTCATTTTATAGGGTATCCCAGCCTCAGGCTAATTATTAGTCCTCATAGCTGCATAGTAGCCAGCTTGATATAATGAAAATTCCTCTAAACCTACCCCAGTTATTCAAATTATTTCATAGTACACCTAGAAAGGCCTTCCTCACAGAAAAGTAACCTCTATCAACCAAGTGTAAAATGTTTGCTATTATCCTACCCCAAGCTCCCAGGACTCATGCCTTAGAATTGCCCTCTGCTAGAGGCTGGTCTCTGATGTAAGAGGGGCTGCCTTACTTACTGTCTCATAGTCGTACCAGATGGCGTCCGGTATGTATGCTTTCACTCGGTCCACACCCTAGGGAAACACCAATATGAGCAACATCAGCATGTCTCTTACAGTTTACACAATACCTACCTCATCTGTGCTTGCATGTGTTCATCTGAACAATCTTGAGAGGTGGTTAGGACCATCCCATTCTACAGGTCCGAATACCCCTGGTCCAAAGGAAGCACAGTGGGACGGCCAGCCCAAACTCATGAGGCATTTAAAGCCTATCAATCCATGGTCATATGTTTAAGAAAACAAGTTTTAAGGTAATTTTGCAAAACAGAAATTGCTTTGCTTGGAGATAGAGGGAGAGAGAGAGAATGAGCAGGGTGAGGGGCAGATGGAGAAGCAGACTCCACACTGAGTAGAAAGCCTGACATGGGGCTCGATCCCAGGACCCTGGGATCATGACCTGAGCCAAAGGCAGATGCTTAACTGACTGAGCCACCCAGGTGCCCCATATTTATATTTATATTCATATTTAAATGCAGCCATAGATACTCCAAACTCAGCTTATTCAGCTATAGAACCATGAGGAAAAATGTGATATTCCACCCCATTGTTCAGATTAGAAACACACCTCATATAAAACAGGTGTGATGAGGAGTCCGGGCCCCCATAGGAACTGCTCATGTATGCCCCAGGTAGCTGGGTCCTGGTAGAACCTGGAAAACAGAGAAGGCAGATGAAGCCTCCAGTACAGGACAACTGCACCCTAGGTGGCAACAACCACTAACAAGACAAGGGAAATGAATGCTCTGAAAGGGATTCTTCGTGGGTCGGGAAACTCACTCATGGACCAGGGGCCTCGCTACAGTGTCCCCCCAGGTGTGAGCTCGGTAGAAAAGGGTGTAGAGGTAGGGCAGCAGGGTGTAGCGGATGTTCAGATAATATCTGGAGGAATTCGCCAACAGAGAGTGTTCACCAAAGGCAGCAGGATCCTGGTCCTAGAAGAAAATGAAGCAAATATGAGATATTTCCATTGCGTCTTAAAAGTTTGTTCCATTATGATAAGAGGCTTTCTCAGATGAGAGTAGCTATGTTCTCTAACTTGGAAGATATCAAAGCATTTCCAAAACTAAAAGGATCTTGGTACTGTTTCTTGATTTTATAGATGAAAAAACAGTATATCAAAGATTACATGATTCTCCCAGTGTAAACTGCAAGCTGGTGACAGAGCTTAAATTTGACTTGTGTCTTCTGATCCCAGTTGATGGTAGCCTCAAGGGTGATAAAGAAGTCCATGGTGGGGGAGGGGCGGGGCACCTGGGTGGTATAGTCGGTTAAGCATCAGACTCTTGGTTTGGGCTCTGGTCACGATCTCAGGGTTGTGAAATCGAGTCCCAAGTTGGGCTCTGCATTCAGCATGGAGTCTGCTTGGGATTCTCTCTCTCTCCCTCTCTGCCCCTCTCACACACGTTTCCCCTCTATCAAAGTAAATCAATTAAAAAAAAAAAAAAAAGCCCAGGAGGTTGCCATGGAGATAAAGGGGTTACAGTGGCCCCTGCTCCCTTCTTAGCTGATCTAATTTGTTGTATATTGAGGTTTCTCATAATACTCCATAATACTTATAATACTCCAAAACAGCAGTAAGTTGTACAACCAGTAACAAGAATTTGAATTTGAAACCCACTACCTTAGTAAGCTGCATTGCCTAGCACCATGATCTATAATTCATCTTCTCCTTTCCATGCAATTTTATGAATTTACAATTTTGAAATTTATGTGTAGTTTTGTCTGTAATGCGTTCACCATCGATATTTATTTTCTTTTCTCTACCCCAGAAACAGTGACCTCTATTTTTTCTTTAATATACAATGTGCAAAGAAATCATGACTTTATCCAAGAGCAAAGAAACAGCCCTCTAGAAGGGAAATCTAATTTTCTTTGGACCCAGAAACAGAACTTTTCCATTAATGATGGGGCTCATTTTGTCCATTTTCCTTGTAATTTGTAAGATGAGAAAGATAATGTATGTCATATTGAGATCTGTCATCCTGCACTCTATTGCTGGTACTGAATTTTAGAGAAAATTACCTAAATTTATTCCTTTCTTTTGTTCCTAAAGATGCTCATTTCCTCCCTTCAAAGGGAGTAGAAAGTAGAGTGGTCTACTGCAGCAGACCACTGTCTGCCTCCAATGTAGGGCTCATGAAAACCCTGAGACCAAACACCAATGAAAATAGCATTCCACATCCTCCATCACTCGGGTCTCCAACCAAGAATGTGTAGAGCTGCACTGTCCACTATGGTGGCCACATACCATGGGGAGCTTTTGCACACTTGAGATGTAGTTAGTAAGAGAGAGGAACTGAACTTTTCATTTTACTTGACTTTTGTTCATTTAAATATAATCCTAAAAACTGAAATTTTTAAAGAACTATTTTTAAATAAAATGAAGAATAAAAATAAAATACTTTTAAATAAAATATTTTTCCATTAAATATAACTTTATTGTTTTGTTTTATTGCATTCCAACTGCTGAAAATTTAGTATCCAAACTGAGATCTGCTGTAAATGTAACATGCACTTGAATTTTGAAGACTTAATAGAAAGAAAAGAATATAAAATATCTCATTGATAATATTTTGTATTAAACAGGTTGAAATAATCATGTTATGGATACTGATTTACACAAACTATACTTAAAATGATTGCTTCTGTTTCTTTCTACTTTTTAAATGTACATTTAAACTTAATGTGTGGCTCTCATTGTCATTCTGTTGCACAGCACTTGTGGAGGGACAGGAAAACAAGGACTGAAACTTAGCAGGCTAGGTGGTCTGAATGCTCTTATCTAACTCCTTCCAGGCCATCTCAAGAGGAAGGCAAACTGCCAAACCTGCTCCCAGCCACCAGCTTAGAAGTTCAGAAATATCCCAACTCTCTCCAGCTCGTAAATGGCTAAGACAGTCTGGGGATAAAATACTTTGGTGATTTGGCTATAAATCTTTCCCATGTTAGAGACAAAATCAAGAAGGGCAGCTAAAATGATCATCAGTAAGCTACCCCGTTGAGTGTATTAAGATCTAACCTACTCAATTTTGAAACACTTCATTAAAATAAAGGGCATTCCGCCTTACTTGCTCCTGCCATTGTCCAGACATCTCCTTAAGAGGGGCTCTGAGCCCACTTCTATATACTCACCCATCAAAAAAAATTTTTTTTTTTTGGATAAAAGAGTGAAAAATAGTGAGGAGGGCAGAGTCTCACAATCATTCATAGAAAGATAGAATGGTGTAACAAGGTGAAAAAAAATCTTCAGATCCCTGGCCTGCCACTCCCTAAATCATCCCTCCTTGCTAGTCCATACTAGAAGTGGTTTCCCTTGTATTGTTCGAGGTAAAATACCAGTGGACTCCAACTGTCCCATCTTACACAGATGGTAAAAGAAGTGATAACAGCAGCATTGAAATTCTAGCAACCTGTCTCACCTTCATTGGTGAGTTAAGAAAATCAATATAAATCACAATAAAATCATTCGATACATACATACATGCCATGAATCCTTATCCCATACTCTGCTCTTCAGGTCTATGACCCAAAATTTATCTGTTCTCCTGTTGTACTAATGGCCAAGATATAGGTTTTTGTTTCTTTTTCAATCCTTTTTGAGAACAAGTACTTTGGACAATCCAAGAAGTTTCCATTGCTTCTCTTGGGGACCTTACCCTGAACCCAGGCCCGTTGTGATTCCTCGATAGTGGATAAAATGCTCCAAGCTGCATCCACCTTGTGCAGAGCTCCTCTGTGACATTTTTTGTGTAACCACAGATGTTGGCACCTACCTGGAGAATTAGCACACATACAAAAGACAATGGTCAGTGATAGTAGCAAAAGCATTGACCGTATTCCTATGTGGTAAAAGGGAAAAATCTTATTCCCATCATTCTATGCTTACAGAGGTCCCAGACTTTCAGAGCCAGCCAAAGGTACAAAAGCAGCAAATGTGCATGATGAATCAGCTGACGAGAGCTCATTTCAATGTTCAGTTCCCGATTTCACACTTTGTTATTCACTGATGCTTTGCTAATGGAATTTTCTGTGATGCTCACATATTTTACTTATGGTGTCTCCATGCTGACCTCAAAGACTCCATGGACGACTACCCAACGATAATGTCTTACCATTCTATCCTCAAAAGACAGTTCATGCTGCATGTAAAAATGGATTTTCTAATACATACCACAGGGAGACATAAATGCTCCTTGGTTTTTAACATCACAAAAGACTAATAAAGGAAAGAATACCAAAGAAAAAAAGGTAAAAGTTCCTCGTTGAGAGTAAAACTCACCATGGGGATACCAAACAGGTTGAACTCAAGGATACTAGGGATAGACCATTGGAGATCATCCCATGTGGCTGCATTGTCCCCCAACCAATGTGCAGCATATTTGCCAGATCCAGCAAAAGTAGAACGGGATAAGATCCAGTTACTTTTGTTGGGGAAGATTTTCTTCATGGCCCTGAAAATGAATACAATCTATTGAATGTGAAGTGAGCTGTGAGTATCTAGGACTCACCTGTACCCAAGGGGAGCAATGGGCTTTCCAACAAAACAGAAAAAACATCAGGACTTCATGAACTAGGTGAGCAAACTAGTTTTTATTATTTTATTTTATTTAAATTCAATTAACATATAGCGTATCATTATTTTCAGACGGAGAGTTTAGTTATTCATCAGTTGCATTAAACATCCAGTGTTTATTACACCATGTGCCCTCCTTAATGCCCACTACCCAGTATTTTTAAGATTTAGCACTTTTTTTAGTATCTTATATTTAAGATCTAGTATTTTTAAGAGCTTCTTTCCCACTTCTGAATAAGGTTTCAGACTTCATATAAGATAGTCCAAACCTCTACAGTCCAGTCCCCCCAAAAATGTCTTTATGCTCCTAGCCTCTCTTTCTCTTATTGGATCTGACTGAGTTTTGGCCCTTTTGATCAATAATACATTGTGGCCATGTCTTGAGTTCTTGACTCCATCTTCTCCACCTAGACAAAGCTTTTCTAATGTCTGTTGTTTCCACGTCTTGCTGCCCCTCTATAATCAATCCTGTCTAGCACAACACCAGCTCAGGCTGGATCTCTGAAGCCTCTGCTGGAACAGTTTGTACACCAGCTGGGTTCTAGGCAGCTGGGTTCCCCTAAAGCCTTAAAATTTATTATTAGCAATTCTCCATGTTGGGAAATCTTAATCTATGCAAAATAATAATTTTAATTGAGTAAGTCTCAAAAGATAACACGATACTCTTTATAAACTTAAATGCAATCAAAATATAAAATATTATTTTCATTGTACTACAAACAAAATATCATATATCAAATAAGACTCTGTAAAAGATTAAGCAAAGGGATTGAGAACATGGAATTCAGAAAGACAATTACTTCAGGATGGAGGGGAGCGTGAGGTGGGGTGACAACACAGTAAGATATAAGTTATCTTGCTTAGCGTTTATTCTGAATATTCTTTTGCATAAGCACTTTCCTAAAATGCCTCTTCCTTCTTTCCCATTCCATGCCAAGCAGCTCATACCTTCCTTTAGCTATCTGAAATTAAACAAAATTACAACAATGGCATGGTGATACCTGATCCACAATTGCTGCTTCTATCTTTCCTTTCAGTATGTCGTCCGAGACAAGTGTATCACCAGACCCTGGCCAGTCCCTCACAGACACTGTCCCAGCCACCAATGCTCACCCAACTTCATACTCCTGAGTACTACCTTATGTGGAGTCTATAATGGCAACATGATAGAATGGCAAAAGGGAGAAAATTCTGAAATAGAGGATGGGTTTGAAAGCATGAAGTCTTCCCTTCTGACAATTTAATGACCAAAAAGTAAAGGTAGCATAAAGGAGAACACTCAGTCTTCAACTCCTACTCTCATGTCTTTGATCTCAACCAGCAGTTACTTTGCCTTTATTACCATTGGCTAGAGGGTTTATGGCACTCTGTAATCACCGACCATGAAAGAAACACATTCAGGTTGCACAGAGTGAAACCGAAAGGTGGATAAAGTTATCTGAGGTTACAGGTTTATGTAGAGGCAGACCTTTACGGTACCACAGATTAGATAAGTCTCTGTTTTCCAGAGTAGAGGAACAATCTTATTCAGAGATCCTCAAGTCTCTCTTTTCTGTCGCGCAGGTCTGACTGGCTTATCATTGGTCCCGATCTCTGAGGGGATCTGGTCTTTCTACTTTCAGCTCAGAGGGAGAAGTTCCTTCTTAGGGTAACCACTGTCCCAGACAATAGTTCCAGGAAGGTTGAGCCAAATACTAATCAGATCTATGGCTTAAATGTTGCTGGTGCTCAGATCCCACTGAACAAAAAACATATCCCCACTGTTCTCTGGGAACTTAGGTCATTCTGTCTGACCTAGAGAGCTTAGAAGGGCACTTAACCTTCTCCATTGTAGTTACCTTTTAACTATTAATCATAGCTATTAGACTATATTAACCAACCCCATCACAACCTTACAGCACTTTTATTACATGGAGACATGAACAATAAAGCAATTTGCAACTCTTTCCCTCCTCCAGCCCCTCCTTTCTCATCCCAGGCTGTAGCCACTCTCCCTCCCACCCTCCGTTCTTAGATAGAAGCGTTTTAGAGTCGAAATAGATTGGAATAAGAAGGAACTTTGGGAAACATTAATCCAAGCCTCTAGTTTCAAAGTTGAGGGAACTGAGCCTTATTCTTCCAGCTTATTTCCCAGGAAAGGCAGAGTGAGAGAGACAGAGGTCAGAAAAGAGAGGGTAACAAAATCAGAAACATGTGTCCTTCTTCTTCTTTTTTTTTTTTTTAAGAATTTTATTTATTTGACAGAGAGAGATCACAAGCAGGCAGAGAGGCAGGCAGAGAGAGAGAGGGGGAAGCAGGCTCCCTGCTGAGCAGAGAGCCCGATGCGGGGCTCGATCCCCGGACCCCTGGATCATGACCCGAGCCGAAGGCAGAGGCTTAAACCACTGAGCCACCCAGGTGCCCCTGTGTCGTCCTTCTTGAAGCTTCTTTTTGGAGATTAAAACTTTTGCATTTATTAGACAAAGACTCTCTCTCCTGGACGATCCCACATAATACAAAGTCAGGAGGGCAAAATGGTGCTGGAGAACAAAGCAGGGGTGGTCACACATCCCCTGCAGGCCCTTCCTGATGTCTCTCCCTCAGGCCAGGCAGCTATGCAACACACGTCTTAAGTACACACACTATTCCTCAGGCTAAAGTTACAGGGACAACTTTGCCCTCAAAACGCTTGCAGTCCAGCAAGAAAAAAAAGAGGAGGGGATTGCCTAAATGTTATAATATAAGATTTTTGTACATTGAGTATATTGTAATACAAACAAAGGTAGCATAAAAAAAGGGAAATAATCTTTTCCTAGAACTGACAGGAATGTTTCTAGAAACATCTGAAAAGAGGCTTTAAAGATAAGCGTATGTTTGCAGACAGGAGAACTGAGAGGGAGCTTGGGGCGGCCAGTGGGGAGAGAAGCCAGGAGGATGTGGTGTGGGTAGCCCTGCCAGGTAGACAAGGGACACTCCAGCAAACTTGAATTTAATTTAAACAATAGATCATTTTTAGTGTAAGTATGTCCACTACAAATTTAACTGGGCCCTATATTTTTATTTGCCAAATCAGGCAACGCTGGTGTGGTTCGGTAACAGGGCTGGCTTCCAACTGGGGGCTCTAACTACCTTGCACATTATTGCCTACCAGTATCTAAGGAAGTCCCTTAGTCACAAGTCAATCAAAACTAATCTCACACAGGCACCAAGGGGCTCTATGAGAAGAGCTCTTAATTCCCCTTTAAGATCTGAGTTGCACATCCTTATAACCACAAAATATATTTGAAAAACATACTTATAGAAGATACACAAAAGCCACCATCTCCCACCTCCCCTACACAGAAATGGGGTGAAAACCAAGTGCTTACGAGTCTGTTGCTTTTGCCATGGAGTAGCCATACAGACTGTGGACATCATAATGAAGACCCCACTGAAATTCTGCATCCATGCACAGGGTTCTTGCAAAAAGCAAACGGTCCAGAATTCCTATGGGGAAACAGCCATCAGTGAAGCACTTTCCTGTCAATCAGCTCTCACAAAATAATGACCCAGTTATTTGCTTCCCCGTTACTGTACCTTCCCACTCAATCTCCACCTGACAAAATCCGTTCTGGTTTTAAATTCTGTCCTAAATGCTACATCCTATCTGGGACCCACACTAAGCCCCACTCTAAGATAGATCATTAAAATTAAGGTGCATTCCCTTGGAGCCCATAAAACATGGCGCTGGGTGGAGGCAACTGGGAAATGAGCTGAAAGCAATGGGAAGTTGGCCTGAAATGAAATACAAATAAAGCAGCACATTTCTCTACACATATTTGATCAAGAAGAATTGTGTAAGGAACAGAGATGAAGGCAGTGGGAAGGAAATACTTTTACTCTTCCGTTATAGGCATTCAACGCCAGTTAGGTTTTTTTTGTTTTTTGTTTTTTTTAAGAAATGAGATTTGAGGGGCCCCTGGGTGGCTCAGTGGGTTAAGCCTCTGCCTTCGGCCTAGGTCATGATCTCAGGGTCTTGGGATCAAGCCCCGAGTCAGTCTCTCTGCTCAACAGGGAGCCTGCTTCTCTCTCTCTCTCTCTGCCTGCCTCTCTGCCTACTTGTGATCTCTCTTAAAAAAAAAAAAAAAAAAAAAAAAAAAGAAATGAGTTATGAGACTTAGGTGGTTCCATAAATAAGAACTCAGATCCTGCTTCTAAAATCACCACTGCCTGACCATTATTTTCTCTTTTCATACCTAAAACGCTCAATATTTTCTGCCTTGTAGCCTAGAATCTCGTTCTTTCCTTCTCATACTTATGGACCTATAGCTGGGCACCACATCAGCTCCCCCTCATCAAGCCTTGCCATCGATATGTTGGAGCCTCAGTATGAAACTCAGTTCCAGAAAGTAGAGGAACCAGGAAACCCTGATGTTGACTTTTCCCTACTAGTTCAACAGAATCTCATCAGCCAACTTAATCAGAAATTAAGTTGAATGATAAAACATTATGAAATTTATATTTTTGACAAAGCTTGGTTTGTGGAATGAGACTCACAACCACTTCCATGATAAGAAAAAAACACTAAAATTGTTCCAGGGTCAAAGGTAATATAAGTCTTTATCATGCTAATTGTACTGTCTAATCCTGAAAAGGTGAGATCACAGCAGAGCCGCTAGAATGTCGTGGCTAGTCATAGGTAGGTAGACTGAAATGCTGGGACCTGGGGTGTGAGGTGCTTGCCAGAAATAGGCAGAGGGGGATGAGACTGCAGTTTTCTACAGAAAAACAAAATAAAACAAACAAACAAACAAAAATCCTTGGCTCTCCCTAAGAAGAAGATTAAGAGATTAAAAGGGAAACATGGTAAAGTGATCCCTAGTTGGGAAAAAAAAAAATGGGGGAGGGGGACATAGACTGAGGAGAGAAGAATGAGGAATAAGCAGACAAGCAAACAGTAGATTTTACATTAAAGTAAATGGTTTGAAGCCAAGATTCCTCCTTAAAAAGTTCTCCACTCCTCTGGAGACCAAAAGGAGCTAAAGAAGCAGGTCACCAATGGTCCAAGGTTCAGGTGAAGTGGACAAACCAGAATTAACTGGCAGAGACAAGCCAGATGCTCACCAAGGCTGTGTTCTCTTCCCGGGGGAGTTAAGACTATATTTCACACTTTAGGTCAAGATTAAACTGAGAATAAGTGATTGGATTCTGAGCAAAGAAATGCGAGCAAATTGAATACGCCCTACTTCGAGGCCTGCCAGTAACACTCCTCCACCTTCTCTCTCCTTCGCCCAGGAAGCTGGAAACAAAGGACTCTGAGATGGAGAACCAAGCCATGGAACCAACGAGATCCCTGAGCCACTGCTCGGATGAGAGCCACGCATCTCATGCTAGAGTAGATGAGCCAAGAATGAAATTCTATTGTGTTAATCCACGGAGATGCTGGGGTTCACGTGTTTCCACAGCACAATCTATCTGTTACTGTTTCACACACATACACACTTTTGAAATCAGGACTGGAAAGTCTAACTAGGAATGAGACTTAAATTAAGAAGGAGCTAAAAGGAACAATGAATACTTTAAATTGTGACTAATGAGCCAAAAAAAAAAAAAATGAAGTTCACAAAATTACAGAGTTACTTCAGTGGAAGGTGGTTTGGACCTTAAAGTACTCTGGAATTCTCATAAAGTTGAAAACTGAAACCATTTGCTTGAGGGGTTTGGAGACCACAAACAGGATGGGAGGACCGCGGGGCCATTGGGGGAGGCGCGCACCCACCACCTGCTCGCCCTCGGTTCCAGCGGTCAGCAGGTGGCCGGAGCCCCTGGTGCACACAGGAAGAGCTTCGGTAGGGGAGCCGCCGGCGTGTCCACAGACCCCCTGCCCTGGGAACTGAGACTGTTCTAGGCCACGTGTAGTGCTGTGGGGCGTGCTCTAAGTGTATCTTGTGACAACTTACGGGGAGTAAAAGGAGGAAAGTTGAGGGTATTAAGTTCACACCCGCGATCGGAACCGTGGAGAAAGCTGGATACTTCATCCATTTCCTTCAACGACACACAAGAAGCACAAGGGGAAGGGTTACAGATGCAGGGTTAGTCGTCCAGGAAGGTTTACTGAACTAGAAACCCCACGTTTGCGACCTCTTATTGACTGGGATCTTGAGTAATCTGCCTAAATCTTCTTGCCCTCTGTTTCACCTTTTGGATTGGGTTGTGTCTAAGGTACCCTCCAAACCAAAGTGCTATCAGGCACATTTTACCTTTTTTACATTGATCTCCATTAGCTAATTAAGCAATACCATTTCCAAAGGCTGATTCTTACCTTATGAATAATGTGAGTTTTATGTAGCTGTTAATGTTTCAGTGCTGTTCGAAAGAGCCTAAGACAGAGGAGTATTTCTGTTTTATAATTCCCCCTGTCTTTTATTCCACTCAGGGAGGGGCAAGAAGATATAACAGAAACCAAATCTGTCTCTTTAAAATGGATTAAAAATAGGTGATGCTTAATCTTGCTAACGGAAATAATTTTCCAACTTTCAAAGAAGTATCTCCACCTGCTATCCCTACCTACAAAATAAAAGGGATTCATTAAATTGTTCTCTGATTAACTTTAAATTTTAATGAATCGGTGTGACAGCCTCTCATAAAACAGTTGAAAGACAGTTAAGGGAGGAAGAAGCTGAGACCCTGGGAAAATAAAGGACTTTCTCAAAAAAGAAATAATCAGTTGGTGGCAGATTCAGAATTAAAATCTGGGGTTTTGAGGGGTCTATTTTACTGCATATAAGCTCTGCATTAAGTAAAATGATTTTAAATACAACTATGTCAAGGAAACTATTTTGTTACTGATCAGGGTCAAAGCTCATTCTCAAATCTTGGACTATCCGTTTCCAAAAGAAGTTTGATTCCAGAATAACAACTTACAATCCATACTCCATCAAACTTGAGAGTTTTATGAAATTCACTGAACTGCTCCGTCCACCACTGAGTGCAAGTCGGATTACTATAATCAGGAAACACTGTCCATCCAGGGTATCCCTAGAGAACAAAGAAGGAGGCAGTGGCAATGGGTATGCCTGAAGGCCATGACACATTCATTGCTGCTACGGCTTCTGCCACCAGGAGCCCCAGGCATCTTATCATTTCAGAATCAAAATTTCCCCCCAAACTAAATAGTAAACTAGATGCAAGCAACCAAAAGAAGCCAAAAGGAAAGGAAAAACAGCCAATTAAATACATGAGAAGCCATCGGATGTCTTCTCTCAATGAAAACATAAAAACAAAATTTCATGATGTCAGACCAGCTAGGAGCAGAGTCTAAAAACTCTCATCCATCTAACTGGGTAAGATTTTAGGAGAGAATGACTAGATTCACTTAATGTGTAATTAAAGGTCATTTAAACCCGCTTTGAATAATGATGTTTATAAATGATACATTTGGTTTAGGTAGAGAAATGATCTGTTTTAAATGGTGAAATGAATTTTGTGCTTCTTACTTGGGTCCAATATTTCTTATCCTCTCTATTCCTACCGATGTTGCTTTTAACATTTTCCATAAATAGCGCAAAGATAGAACTTACAGCCAAATTACTGAGAACTCTGAATTGATAGGATACAAGCTTTTTTGCTTACATTCTTATTTATGTTCCCAACAAACTTATCAGTTGTCATTAGGTTATATATATATTATATATATAAAATATATTCTCTATATATTAATATACATTATGTGTCATATATCGCATATATTTTATAATAATATTACATATATATGTTTTATATATTATATTACATATAATATTTATATTACATATAATATTTATAATAATATTACATATATATGTTTTTATATGTTGCAGAAACTTCTTAAAACTCAACATGAGAGCTTAAAATTCTCAGTTGCAGTGGATTGAACTCCTGGTCTCTTGTGTTAGGTGATAGGGCACCAAATAATTAGAGGTAATTTTGAACTTAAGAAATAGGCAGAGTGGTAAAGAAGTCACCTACAGCAACATTATCTAGAGTAGGCCCAGCAAACATAATTCCAACCAAATATCTTTATTTTTTATTTATTTGTTTATTTTAGAGAGAGGGAGAGTATGAGTGGAGGTGGGAGGAGAGTCAGGAGAGGGAGAGAGAGAATCTTAAGCAGGCTCCACGCTCAGCTCAGAGTCCGATGGGGGGCTCAATCTCACAACCCTGAGATCATGACCTAAGTCAAATGCTTAAACACCTGAGCCACCCAGGCACCCCCCAAACACCTTTGTAATAAACCTCCACCCACCTCCAAGACTACTACCTCTGCCAACATCTCAGATCAAATGTTTGATGTTATTTGTTGGTCAATGGAGGCAACTAATTAAATTCTTGTAATTATATGCAAATTACCAATTGTGTACCACTCAAATATGAGTACTACTGAAATGACTCACAGGTTTGGATAATCTACTTTTTAGATAATCAAAATCATGTTTATGTGACCATGGGCTCTGATTTTGTACTTATATATGAATACTGGTCTGATTTTTTAGAAATTCAATTCAAATAAAACAATAAAATCAAAGCATTGGTTTGGGGAAGGAAGGAAACTACTGTTTCATAGAAGGTTAGACTCAATGAAAAACAAATAAATAGAATTAAGTATTGTAAATAAAATCAATGATAGGAATTAAGTGAGCAGTTAGATTAAGGGGCATTGATAAACCTGAAAACACAGTTTTGAAAAGTAAACTGCCCAGGAGCAACACAACTTGCAGCCACCTAAACTCTCAGATTAAGTATCAGTTTTCGTAAATGTCACATAATCCAACCAGCTAGGGCTGACCCTATATGTAACTGCAATAGAAAGTTGCCTCCATGATTTGATGTAAAGTACTCTGGAAATTAGGCTTCAAATCAGCCTACTCCAATGCCTGCAGAAAGGCTGGGCTCTATAAATCTTGTTTAAAATAAAACTACATTAGCTGAGACAGGTTTCACATTAGACTATGAGCCTCCTGTTACATTATTGTAGCCAAACATATTGTCTTGGGAAAGAGAGAAATTGAGAGGCAGGTGGACTTGAAGAGTAAATGAATTTTTTTTCTTATACTACATTGCTTCTCAAATATCTGTAGTCCAAAGGTCAGGGGGCTAGCTTTTTAGAGACTAGACATTAATTTTTCCCACCACAAAAAAAGAAATGATAATCATGTGATATGGAAGAAGTGCTCTTGCCACAATGACAACCATATTGCAATATACAAATGTATCAAATTAACATGCTGTACACCTTAAATTTACACAATGTCATATGTCAAATGTATTTCAATTTTTTAAAAAAATCCTTCAGAATTTTAATCATTTTATTATTACATCTACTGTTTTAAAAATAATAATAAAAGAAGCCTCTAAAACCATGAAATCAGTAATAAGGATACTACAACATGCCTTCTACTCACTTTCTTAACAAAAGTATAGACTTCCCCAAATGACTGTAATTCATTGATTCCCTTGCAAAATTACCTGCCCAACGACAAAGCCATTGTTCCCCAAGATCCATACTCTCCTGTGGCTTCCATTCATATAGGGCTGGTAGTCAGAGTTATTTAAGATGCCAGGATTCTAATAAATAAATATAATAACAAATATTATTTTTATCACTTTCTTTTGTACTTTGAAAGGGAAAATGAGGCAACAGACTTGTTTGAACATACCATAATGATTACATATTTCAGTCCTTGCTTATGTAAGTCGTTGATAAAATTTGAGAGATTAGGGAAAGCCTTTTCATCAGTAGTAAAATCCTTATTTCCATCCATGTAGTCTATGTCAGAGTACTGGACATCCTGAAAGATAGTGCCAGCCAGTTAGAACCTAGGAAATATCACTGTGCTGACTGAAGGTATCATTGCTCTGGTTCTTGCTCACTAAAACTGAAGCCATATTTCTTTCTTTCCTCCCTCTACTTCCTTCCTCTTTCCTTCTTTTTTTAAGATTCTATTCATTTAGAGAGAGAGAGAGAGAGAGAGCATGAGCAGGAGGAGGAGCAGAGAGAGAAACTGAGGCTGACACAGGGATGGATCCCAGGACCCTGAGATCAGGACCTGAGCCAAAGGCAGAAGCTTAACCGATGGAGACACCCAGGTGCCCCTGAAGCCATATTTCTTAATGGTCCTTGAACTTCCAGGACTTGGCTACCTCTTAGAATAAGTCCCTTCTGAAAGATTCAGGCACTCTTAGGTTGCAGCTTTATGTCTTTATCCTGACAGATGCATGTCATGAGGTATTGGGAGGAAGTTGAGGGTAGGGACTGTGTCTTGTTTATCCCTGCAACATGAGAGCTTGGATGCTGGACATAAAACAGGTGCTCTTTAAATGTCTGTTTGGGTGAGTATATGAGTAATGATGTAACCATGTGCTAGCTTGGACCCTAAACATTAAGCTAGAATATATCATAAGAGAAGAAAACAGTCTTCTTGCTCTATAGAACTGCTAGAATAATAACTCACAAAGATAAATGACAGAAGGGCAGGGCTTTAATTCACCAAAGTCTCATACATAAATTATTTTAGTGTTTGCATACCAATCTGTGAGGAGCAGGTGTCATTCTTGGCGAGAAGACTGACATGTGAAGGGGTTGAGTGACATTTCCCAAGGTCGTATGCATGGGTGGGTGGGGTCGACTGGGGCTTTTGTGATAGGATCTTTGAGTCCAGCTGATCTATTTTTCCAAACTGCCACAACTTCAAGGACATCTGAAGGTCATCAAAGAAAGTGTTCCTCATGTAGTAAGTGTTCCTCATGTGTCTGAGAAGGTTCTAGCTTCCAGGCCCACAGGAAAATGTGGCTGGTGGCCTCTTGCCAATGCAGCACACCTGTTCTAACACTAGGCAGTTAGTACTCAGGTGCCTCCACTCCCACATGGTGGGAAAGAGCCAGTCCGTGGAAGGAAAGCTCTTTTGTTTGTGAATCAGCAGCACCTCAGAAAAGCCCTTTGCAGAGGTACAGGGATAGATTGAAGTAAATACCACAAGTCGTCAAAAGAACTATTTTTGAATCCTGGTCCTGCCATTTGGCTAGTTCTCGTGACCTTAGGAAAGTTATCAACTATGCAGTGGTATTTACAAAATACCAATAAATGATGTTTAACCATGATTGTGAAAGCACCTTGTAAAATAATAACCATGTGGCAAACTTTGGCTGGATTCCTCCTGGAATTGAGTGCTTGTGGGTATTGATTTGGGGGCATTTAAATGAAACACATGATCAATTTCCTCTTAATAGCAAAACACCACAGCAGATATGTTTTCTCCCAGGAAAAAGTCATCTCTCGACCTGCTCTCCTTAGCTGCCCTGAGAAGGCATTGTTAAATCCTGAGATCAGGCCAAAGTCATTTCCACCTGCACCTTCTTCCTTCACATGCTAAACAAATAAATGTTTGCAACACAGTTCCAAAGATCTAGCCCCAAATAAACTGTTCTGATAACTTCATTAAAGGCATTCCGCATCTCCTGGAGGAATTTATCAAGTACTCTAAACTTAATAATTATTTACTAGTGGACATTGAACATCATAAATACTTGGCTGCCGCTGAGCTTTCAAAATTATAGTCTGCCAGATCTGGAAGGAGTGTTCAAGGTTGCTATGAGAAACTCACTTCCTGTGAGTCATTTTTAGAGTCGTCAGCTCTTGTTAACCATATCACCCTAGGTGATGCTTTCTTCCATAAAATAACAACAAATTTGGATGGAGCTCATCCTCTGTACTGCCTGCCTTCCACGCCTAGTGTAAGGCATTCCTCACTACCAGTCCACCAATGGACTGGTAGAGTATAATGGACTGGAGAATATAAAACATTCTCATTTTATAAAAGGGGAATTAAGTCTCAGAGATGCTAATTAACTAGCCCAACACTGATAGAGGTAAAGCTAAAGCTTTGCAAAGAAGTAAAGCCAAACTTCAAAACCATATGCATCCAACTCCATAAACTGCTGTTTCTATGATGACACAGGCAACTTAGCATGCAAATCTCTGACCCTAAGTGTGCCTGTTTGTCTGTCTGTCTACGTATGTATGTACATATCTATCTTTCTATCCACCTGTCTGTATTTCTTCCTAATATATTGAATCAGATGCAAAAACTAAAAGATAGAAAGTGGTACCTTACACATGTTAAGGGAAGTTCCAACTTACATAAGGGATCTGAGCTACACGATTTCGATCCACAACCTTCTTCAACCCATTGATGCCACCATAGTTCCTGTGACTAAGCTGGAACCCAAGACTCCAGTAGGGAGGCATGAATGGTCGTCCAATGAGCTGAAACAATAAATATAGACATGTCTAAGCATTTAAAAACTACTGTTTTGAGCACCATATCTGATACAGAAAACACTGTTTCCATTTCCATTTATAACTCTCCAAGCCAAAGCCCATACCTCCAGATACTCCTGAACCACTTGTTCTGGAGTATTTCCCAGGAATATGTAAAAGTCAAGGATGCCGCCAATTGTGCGGTAAGTGATCGCAGGAGCAGGCTGCAGGGTGACCTCTGAAAGGATTAAAATGAGAGTTATAAGAATTTCGTGGTTGCAAATATGCTTTTCTCTGGAATATTAATACCTGAGTTATCCAAAACAATCCCAGTCTCATTTTGCAAGAAATGAAAATCATGTTTCTTTTTTTTATGGATTACTGAAATGTATCATAATATTAAGTGAGTAAAACACTAATGAAGAATTGATTTTTTAAGAGAAAGCAGAACCAGTTCTATTTTTTGTTATAATTTTATTTTTTTTTTTTACTTAAATTCAATTAAGAACAAATTCTATTTTAATCTGGCTGTATTACAATACGAATGGCTGGAATTTGTGAGTGATTTAACGTAATGGAAAGGTTTTAAAAACTTTATAGATGAATTTCACTCACCCAAAAAAAATAAATAAGTAAATACAAGCCCTTATTAAGGTGCTATTAGTCCAGAAGCTTGAGGGAGAAGATTCTGGAGTAGGGAAGGGATGAACTACGAGAAACAGCTTATAGAACACAGCGTTGTTGCTTAGACAGACAACCTGGTTTATGTGTTGAAATCTACAGGTATCTTTGGGACCTCTCAATGCATCTTATTATGTACAGAATATTATGGAAAATACTGCATTAAAAGAGAACCCCAAAGAAGTTTTCAATTTTGGGACTTCATCAAGATCAAAAGCTTCTGCACAGCAAAGGAAATAGTCAACAAAACAAAGAGGCAACCCACGGAGTGGGAGAAGATATTTGCAAATTACACTACAGACAAAAGGCTGATATCCAAGATCTATAAAGAACTCCTCAAACTCAACACACACAAAACAGATAATCATGTCAAAAAATGGGCAGAAGACATGAACAGACACTTCTCCAATGAAGACATACAAATGGCTAACAGACACATGAAAAACTGTTCATCATCATTAGCCATCAGGGAGATTCAGATCAAAACCACATTGAGATACCACCTTACACCACTTAGAATGGCCAAAATTAACAAGACAGTAAACAACATGTGTTGGAGAGGATGTGGAGAAAGGGGAACCCTTTTACACTGTTGGTGGGAATGAAAGTTGGTGCAGCCACTCTGGAAAACAGTGTGGAGATTCCTTAAGAAGTTAAAAATAGAGCTGCCCTATGACCCTGCAACTGGGTATTTATCTCAAAGACACCGATGTAGTAAAAAGAAGGGCCATCCATACCCCAATGTTCATAGCAGCAATGGCCACAGTTGCCAAACTGTGGAAAGAACCAAGATGCCCTTCAATGGACGAATGGATAAAGAAGATATGGTCCATAGATACTATGGAGTATTATGCCTCCATCAGAAAGGATGAATACCCAACTTTTGTATCAACATGGACAGGACTGGAAGAGATTATGCTGAGTAAAATAAGTCAAGTAGAGAGAATCAATTATCATATGGTTTTGTTTATTTGTAGAGCATAAGGAATAACATGGAGGACATGGGGAGATGGAGAGGAGAAAGGAGTTGGGAGAAATTGGAGGGGGAGATGAACTATAAGAGACTGTGGACTCTGAGAAACAAACAGGGTTTTGGAGGGGTGAGGGGTGGGAGGTTGAGTGAGCTTGGTGGTGGGTATTACAGAGGGCATGCATTTCATGGAGCACTGGGTGTGGTGCATAAACAATGAATTCTGGAACACTGAAAAGAAATTTTAAAAATAAATAAAAATTTTAGAAAAAGAAACAACTTTCAGCATGAGCTGAATTTGTAACAGTTTATGCTACTTTGGGGTTTCTATATAGAAGTATCGTAGGTTAAATACACATTCTGTTAAAGAGTGATCTTGCCATAAAAGTCATTTTTATAAAAGCCACATCCCAAAACGTATCCCTGTTGAGATAAAAAGATGCCTCCTACCCATGGCATTACTGTTCAACAGAAACACCCCAAAAGAGGAGCCGCTGGTGTCTTCAAGGCACAGGAAGAATGTATGGGCTCCATACAGATTAATCATGTCCTGTCAAGAAAGATGATAACAAACAATAGTAGTACATGTTAAAAATGGTTTTCTTTACCCTAAAATAAAATCAGAAGCCACGTATAACATGTACTTGGTCAACACTTGACATAGTTCAGTATTCTATCAAAATGGTATTGAAATGGTAACATCAACTGATATATGAAATAAAACACATACCATGGAATATGATTAGTAATAATAAGACATGAAAAACTGATCCATGCTACAACATGCGTAAACCTCATAAATGTGGTGCTAAGTGAAAGAAACAGACACAAAAGAAACCATATATTGCATGATTCCATTTATAGGAAATTTCCAGAGAAGTCGAATCTATACAGACAGAAATAGATTAGTGATTTCCTGGGACTCAAGTGGGTACTGGGGTGGGAATGGGGATTAGGTCTATAAAGGTATGAGGGATCCTAGTGGGGTGATGAAAACCTTCTAAAACTGGATTATGGTGATAGCTGCACAACTCAGTAATGTACTAAGCAATCACTGAATTGTACCCTTAAAACAGGTGAGTTTTATAGTATATAAATTATATCTCGGTCAAGTTACTTTTCAAAATTTGGAAAATATCTGCAAAGACATAAAATGTTAGCAGAAGATGATGTCATTATGAGAATTTTGTATCTCTTCTCTATGTCTAACTGTATTTTCTAATTTTTCTATAATTAATATATAATACTTCAGCAGTAAATAAGTTTAAAATTTTTAAAAAGATATTGAACCTGTCACAGGGCCATGATGAGCACTGATCTAAAAAGAGATAATGTGTATTACTATGAGTGAAAAAAAGATAAAGAGAGGGAAAAAAGGCAGAAAGGAAAAAGGAGTGAGTGGGAGGGAAGGAAATGGAGGGAGGGAGAGAGGGAGGAAGGAAGGAAGGGAGGGAGAGAGGGAGGAAGGAAGGAAGGAAGGAAGGACACCTATCTAATCTGTGACTACATAACTCAAGGATTTTTCAGCTCTAGAGAGCCAAGCTTAGTACAATGGTTAGGGTTCCATGTTTGTCAGGGGCCTTGAGCAAGCACTTTAGTGAATGTGCTGGTATTGCTTTACTCTGTTTGGTTCAATAACTGTGTTCCCTTCATTGCATCAGATACTGGTAGGTGGGCCAGTTAATGTGCTACTTGATCTGTTCATCTCCCAAGGAATATGAATTCCAAAACCTCAGTCCCATCCCTCCCTTGCAAGGTACATCAAACCTGCATCTTTTGCTCAGATTTGGGAAACATCATCAGCGCAATAGAGGCTTTAAGACCTGTTCTACAAAGCAATGCTACTCAAAGTGTTATCCATGGACTGGTACCTCCCCACACCCTTTGCTGTAAATCAGCAAGGAAAGTACAAAAACAAGCAAACAAACAAAAAACAAAACAAAACAAAACCAAGAGAAAGAGTTCAGAAACTTTATAGCAATTTAAAAGAGTAATTTTATATCTCTTCACTCTAAAACTTGAGCTTATATTTTATATGTCTTTGAGTAATTTTATTTCATTTCCCCAGGATTAAAAAGAAAAAGAGAGAGAGAAAGGAACTGATCCTTCACTATAGATAAGTTGAAAGGCACTGCTCTAGACCAGCTCTTTACCCACCATAATGCACATGTGGTTCACTTGTAGATCTTACTTAAGTGCAGATTCTGGTTCAGAAGGTCTGGGCTCTGACCTGAGATTGTGCATTTCTAACAACCTCCCAAGTAGTGCCAGTACTGCTGTCTCCAGAACATACTTCAACTAGCAGAGACCTAGAATAATACTAAAGAGGTTTTTTTGTTTGTTTGTTTGTTTTTTTTTTTTTTTTGGTCCACTAAGTTCTACTGGGAGTAGTTCCGGCTGATGCTCTCGCTTAGATACTACCCAATTATTAAAGACAAACATAGTTATTTTGCAGAAGGATTTTCTAATATACATTAGGCCACGATATAGTCATTGAATTATATTTTCCTTTAAAAGTAGGATGTTTTTAAAAATTGATATATTACTGATGAATCACTGACCTCTACCTCTGAAACTAATAATACATTATATATTAATTAGTTGAATTTTTTAAAAAAGGTCTCATCATGAGGGAAAAAAAATCTGTACCTAGTGTGGTGACAAATGTTAACTAGACTTATTGTGGTGATCATTTCACAATATAACAAATATTGAATCATGATGCTGTACACCTGGAACTAATAAAATGTTGTATGTCAGCAATACCTCGGTAAGAAATAATAATAATAAAAAAAAAAACTAAACCAAAAAAATTGATATATTACTAATTGTGAGTTTATAAACCTCAAGAACAAGTATCATCCAGCACAAATGGATCTAACTTGACAAAATAAGATATGGATAGAACTCTGTAAGTTGCCTGACTCTAGGTCACTCTCTGGAAAGGAAAGAAGGGATTCCTTACTATGAGCCGTAGGTAGGAGGAAGGGAAGCTCACCTTGGTGGGCGCGGCATCGCGAGTGAAGATGGGCCAGGTCTTCCAGGTCATGTTGTGGCGGTACTCCTGGTGCACATGCTCCCCCAGCCCATACACAGCAGTGCTGGGCAGTCGGAAGGACAGCTGCAAGTACTGCTGGGCGAACTGCAGGGGCCCGATGCTCGTGTCCAATCTGGGCCATGGGGCAAGAGTTAGAGTCACCAAACAGCTCTCTCTGACAGGACCTCACCTACTGCTCTCCCTGTTCACTTTGAAAACAGTTGTTTCAGGTGTTCTCATCCACATTTGTACTACCTTGGAAAGCCTTTCTAGGGTGTCTCTGATGCTTTCATTCTAGAGGAGATGTGATACCAGAAACTCAAGTTGGATGGCTGGGGGAAGAGAGCAGATGGGACCTTACATTTGCTGGGCATCTACTTCATCCCATGACCTGCTCTGGATGCTTCATGAATATAGCTTCATTTACAGAGCAACACTGGATATTCTCATTCCCTTTCTATTGATGTGGGAATTGAGGCTGGTGTGAGACGCTTTGCCTCACATCCCAAAGCTGACTGGTGACTTGCTGGTGCCAGAACTTGAATACAGATTTTATTCACATTAATCCCTATACTTCTCCTATACAATTTATGGTTTAAGCCCAGGCTGTTTTGTTAGGTTCTTCGTGGCAAGTTTCTCAGGGAATAAAAACTTGGAATGATAAACAATGAAGCTGAGTTCCAAAGTGAATGGTAATCCAAAATAATAAAATTTCCTGTTTCATAATAGACATTAACTGCAAGTGCGTTTATCTAACTTAACATACTAGCATATTATTTAGTATGCTGTGCTCCGCAATCATGACAGGTTAACAAGTGTTAATGATTTACAGTAAAGACGTTACATTTTTCTGAGGTCCAAACATTTTCCCAGGTCGTACTTATCTCACCATCCACCCTCACTAAGTCAGATTGAATGATATTGAGACTATATATTCAAAGATACACAAAGAGTGTTGAAAAGCTCACAAGACTCTTTTGTTGCTTGTCCTCATTATTTTGATGCTGAAGGGCTTATCAATGACCTCTACATAATAGTTCAAATTGTAGGTACTGGTAGTCCTATCAGACAGGTTAATAATTTCAGGGGGGACTTCATAGCGTCTGTTGTTGATATCATTGATCTGTCAGAAGAAAAAGAGAAAGACCAACTCCAGATGAAACCATGTCCTTGTAGAGCTAGAAAGGATTCTCACTCTCAGCCCCCAATGGAAATAGCTTCTAATTCTTAATCCTGTGTTTCTTGAGTTGTGAGACAAAAATCACCCAATCACGTGTCCTCCACAAAATACGAAACAGCCCACACATCCCATTGGGAGATTCCTGCTGAGGGGAACAAAGGCAACTTCTGCCTCTACACCTCTATGCAGTGCCTGAAGGAGAAGGATCTGAACCCAGTGTAGGGACACTGCTTTCCTCAGAGATGTATTCAGTGGTAACTACCAAACCGACCTTAAAATGAAAACGATTGGATGTCTGATATTCAGCTCTGAAGCCAACCTCGTTGACATCATATCCAAACAGAGATGGGAATGGCAACTTTTTCAACTGGGCTGTAAACCCTAGAGATGGGGGGAGGAAAATGGAGAGGGGGAGGAAGCTTTTAGACTTTATTTTGCGGTTAGTTTATCTGAATCATAGAGAATGATTCCCTGGGACCTCATCAAGTTGATGCTCACCTGTCTTTGTATCATTCTGTCTACTGATGACGTGATAGCCCCAGTTCCTGGGGAAGAAGCACCTAGGGACATTAGTATCTGGCACAGGTTTCCAGCAGCACTTATGTTGCTGACTGCAGACATCCTGTAACAATGGCACCGAGTGAGCATGATATAAAATGAAGGAAAGAAAGTTCCGACTATGTATTTATAACCAATTTTATTCCAAGAAGAATTTAAGATAGGTCCCATTTACATGCAGTCATTTATTTCTTCTTCTTTTATTCTCACATTTGCCCAGCCATCCAATATGCATTTATTACCTAGCCGACAAGAAGCTAATAACACATAGAAATAAGACGCAGTTCTTGTCTTTGGCAAACTTCCATTACAGTCTAGTAGTACATGCAATTTCAGTATGACAGGAGTACTTGGACAGAGAGTGCCCAGGGGCTAAAGGAACACACAAGCCAGTCAAGGTACCCAGCCTAGAAGACTGCAAGCAGTGTGGGGAAGGCTTCCAGTAGGTGAAAAGCAAGCCCACTCCTAGTGCACTGGGAGCGATTAAATAAGGGAACAGGAGACCAGTATTCCAAGCAGAGAAAGCAGCAATGCATGATAGATTCGTAAAACCACAAGTTTATTGTGCCAAGAGCACTGAGTAAGAGAAACATGCTGGAGGGACACAATATTTATACCACGAATAAGCTGGATGTTGGACCAACCAGTTTAGACTTTCTCATAAGGAAGGGTCATGGAAATGACTAACAGTATATATATACACTACAGTATATAATATATATAGTGTAATATATATATATATATATATATATGTATATAATGTAAGAAAAGAAAAGAAAAGGAATTAAGAATAAATTAAGACAGAACTGGGACAGAGGGTAACATAAACAAATTCATGATGTCCACAAAGTAAAAATAATCCACATGTGGTTTGTCAGAGTGGTTTGATTATGGAGTTTTTAAATTATTATTTGGGGTGCCTGGGTGGCTCAGTCAGTTAAGCATCTGCCTTCAGCTCAGGCCTGTGATCCCAAGGTCCCAAGTCCCAGCTGGGGTCCCTGCTTAGAGAACCTGCTTCTCTCTCTCCCTCTGCCACTCCCCCTGCTTATGCTTTCTCTATCAAATAAATAAATAAAAGCTTCAAAAATGATTACTTTTTGGTAAGATGTATTTTTATAGGTCCTACAACTTTAATATTCACTTACATAAAAGTTGTTTTTTTATAATGAAGAAATAAAATAGATAGCAAGTTGAATCAAACTGTTGAAACAAACATAGGCATCCACTTCTCCACCCAACTAAATTTACATAAAGTGACAGAAGTATCATTAAGAAAAAAATACAAAACCAGGGGCACCTGGGTGGCTCAGTGGGTTAAAACCTCTGCCTTCAGCTCAGATCATGATCCCAGAGTCCTGGGATCGAGTCCTGCATCAGGCTCTCTGCTCAGTGAGGAGCCTCTTCCTCCTCTCTCTCTGCCTGCCTCTCTGCCTGCTTGTGCTGTCTGTCAAATAAATAAATAAAATCTTAAAAAAAAAATTACAAAGCAGCCAGCTATAATGCAATAGGGCAGAAATGGTATGAAATTACTGAAACACAAGAAATAGACTTTATCAACTCTAGGGAAAAATATATTCATAACCTAGAATACAAGAGGAGGAAAAGAACTGCTCCAAGCCAAGTCAATGTGGAGAAGTGGAAGAGAACCTGGGGCATAGTTTTGGATGATTAATTGGGAAGTTCCAGCATGAACATTTAGCTACCCAATCCAACATTCCTTATAGTTATTAGGCTCTGGCTAATTGGTGGGCATCATGAAGTATTTGTTCAGAGACTAAGGAAGTTAGGAAAGATGCTGGGAACCAGAAAACATGGCAATGCACCAGCTAATAAGCCAGGCACCTCACCCCCAGACAAGTACCCACATTCTCTCCAGCAGTCCTTTCCTTCCCTCCCAAAGACTCAGTGCAAGCCAAGAGCATAGGACAGGCAGTCATAGATAATTCAATACAAAGATGACAGCTAAGAACCACCAAACATGAGAGAAACCAACACTATGATAGACACCAAACTTAATAAACAGAAGAAACAAATTGTAGGAAACAACTAATTGGGAAAAAATTACAAACCTTTTAAATAGATATAATTATTATCTTCAGAGAGAGGCACGTAACTATTGCTTCCATTAGAAGAAAAAAGCAACAAAGAATATTGGAAGTTAAGATATTGAACAAAAAGATTTAAAACTCCTTAATATTTTGACTAACAAAAAGGAAAGAGAACGATGTCAAGACAAGAAGAAATTTCTTTTTAAAATCACATTTAGGATTACCTCAGAACACAAGGACAAAGATATGGGAAGAGGAGAGAAAAGGTAGGCGAAGTGACCAGTGAGGCCAGACAGTAATACTCGACTAGAAGATTCCAAAAAGGGTGAAGAGAGGACACAGGTGAGGGAAGGGGGAATCAAAGAGAGAAAGTAACGTCAGACGTGATGAACAACTCAATCTACCACCCAAGTAATTAGAAAAGACCAAAATAAACCCAGAAAAACTACATGAAGGATTAATGAGTAAAAGCAGTAATTAATGAAAGAGAAAAGAATCAAGTGTTGACAGTTATCAGTTTAAAACATGAAATAAGCATCTCCTCTGTTCCAGGTATGCATCTAGGTTCACATGATACAGTGCAGCTGGCAAGCTTAATAGGTGAGACAGACAGCACCATTAATTAAATACACATTGTTTCCACTATTGACTTGAAATGCTGTTTACCTGACAAGCTGAATTTCAGTGCACATATATGAGACTGTGAATATGCATTTTGGAACTTACTATTCTATAGGTATGGCATATGTGTCAATTCCTGCTATAATTCTACACGGATAATTATTACAGTGCCAGGATGTATTTTGATACTAGCTTGGCCGATCAATAAATCTAACAAATATTCTTTGAAAAGATCAAAGAAATATTAATACCTTAAGAAATCCTCTATTGACAAAAAGAGGGACAAACAAGATTAGAAACAAAAATGGTGAATGAAAACAGATATATAGAATTTTTTTTGAGAGAGAGAGAGGGAGAATGCAGTGCATGAATGGGACAGTGGGAGAGGGAGAGAGAAAATCTCAATTAGGCTCCATGCTGAGCATGTAGGGCTCCATCTCACGATCCTGAGATCATGACCTGAGTCAAAATCTAGAATCTGAGACTCAACCAAGTGAGCCAGTCAAGTGCACCAGGTACATAGGATTTTTAACATAACTAAGGATTATAAGAAAACTATAAAAATATTTGCCAATGAATGTGAAACTATAATGTGAATCTTTAAATAGTAAAATATCAAATAATCAACTGAAATGACCAGTTGCCATGAGAAACTGTAACAGAAGATGCTTCCCTAAAAAAAAAAAAATGATACTTTGCTGAGATGATTTGGGGAATAGAATATTCTCATATTATACATATTTTTCAGAACATAGAAAAAGATGGAAAATTTCTTGATTCATTTTATTAAACTTTAATAATTCTGGCAACCAACTAGAAAAGGAAAAGTCAAAATTATCAAAAATATATAAGCTGGAGGAGTCAAGATGGTGGAGAAGTAGCAGCTGAGACTACTTCAGGTAGCGGGAGATCAGCTAGATAGCTTATCTAAAGATTGCAAACACCTACAAATCCAATGGGAGATCGAAGAGAAGAAGAACAGCAACTCTAGAAACAGAAAATCAACCACTCTCGGAAAGGTAGGACGGGCGGAGAAGTGAATCCAAAGCGACGGGAAGATAGACCGCGGGGGGAGGGGCCGGCTCCCGGCAAGTGGCGGAGCAGCGGAGCACAAAATCAGGAGTTTTAAAAGTCTGTTCCGCTGAGGGACATCGCTCCAGAGGCTTAACCGGGGTGAAGCCCACGCAGGGTCAGCGTGGGCTCAGGTCCCGCAGGGTCACAGAAGGATCGGGGGCGTCTGAGTGTCGCAGAGCTTACAGGTAGTAGAACGGGGAAGCCGGCTACAGAGACAGAGCCGAGGAGTGACTCTCAGCTCGGGGTTACCTTGAACCGGTCGCAGGCTCGGTCAGCTCGGAGCGCGGCCGGAGGCAGGGTGACGGGAGTAATTGGGCGCTGTTCTCTGAGGGCGCACTGAGGAGTGGGGCCTCGGGCTCTCGGCGCCTCCGGGCCAGACACTGGGAGGCCGCCATCTTCATTCCCGCCCTCCGGAAATCTACGGAAAGCGCTCAGGGAACAAAAGCTCCCGAAAGCGAACCCGAGCGGATTACTCAGCCCGGCCCGGGTAAGGGCGGTGCAACTCCGCCCGGGGCAAAGACGCTTGAGAATCACTACAACAGGCGGCTCCCCCAGAAGATCAACAAGAAGCCCAGCCAGGACCAAGTTCACCTACCAAGGCGTGCAGTTTCAATACCAAGGAGAGCAGCGGAATTCCAGAGGAGGAGAAAGCAAAGCACAGAACTCATGGCTTTCTCCCCATGATTCTTTAGCCTTGCAGTTAATTTAATTTTTAATTTTTTTTTCTTTTTCAATTTTTTTTTCTTCTTCTGCTAAATTTTTTTTAACTTTTACCCTTTTCTTTTTTAACGTTTTTTAACTAGTTTATCTAATATATATAATTTTTTTCCTTTTTATATTTTTTCTTTATTGGTCTTCTTTTTTTAATTGTTTCTTTTTTCTTTCTTTTTTTTTTTTTTTTT